GGGGCTTTTTATAAAAATTGCAGAGGAGTCTTGAGAAATACGGGCTGGGGGATGGCCTGTGAGCAGAGACTGGGCAGCTCTCCACCTCCCCTTGAGACTTGACTGATGTCTCAAATTTTTCCTAGATAAATTTATTACGTGTACTTTAAACAGAAGGGATTAAATCACTGAATATAGAACCATGGGGCAAAATGTGGCCTTGAGCAAATTCCTAATCTGGGTCTCAGTTTTCTCATCTGCAAAATGGAACAGTAATCCACATGTTAGGGTTCTTATGAGGAATAAATAAGAGCACATATGACAGCTTCTAGAGCAGTTTGTCATAGAAGTAGTATAACTAAATTTATTAAGAATTATTATATGACATTATAATTAGCTGATCAATTACAATTTGTATCTGTTAAGACAGCAATGCCTCTCTCAGTGTTGACTGGTCTGACATGATGAGCAGTCCTGAGTGAATGAGTGGCTGGCAGAGGGTAGAAAGAGCTGTGAGCAGTAGTTCAGTAAAAGGGTAGGTGCAACCTAGGAGGGCATGGCCCAGAACAGGGGGCCTGGGTTGGTCCCTTGGTGACCTTGGAGAGTGAGTGGTCTTTGAGTATCTCCCACCCCCATCTTCTGTCTCCCTCCTTCCCTGGAACCCTCCTAGTCCACTGGGATGTCTCAGTTCATCTGTGTCCCCTTATCTAGGCTATTTCTTATGTACCCTGCATCAGAGGGTGGCAATCAGGACCCAGAAGTCAGAGGGAGGGAGAACTGAAGATTGGGTCTCTGGAGTTCCAGGGATGTTTCATACTCCGAACTCCTCACTTATGATCTGAGATGAAGAATGGCAGAGCCTGACCTAGACAAACAAAGAAGCAAACAAACAAACAAACAAACAAACAAGGATATTCTTTTTCTCACGCGAGAAGGGACCCTGTTGGTCCCGATGTCTGTAGAGCTTGCAGCAGTTACCTCTTGCTGGAGAGAATAGCTTTGGCTGATTTGCAGTCTGGAGACATAAAGTTTGAAGTCTTTATCATATGGCTGTTATTTAATAAAGCATTGAGGTTACAAAGTATGTGCAGATGAGGAAAGGAAAGCCTGGGACACTCTGACATTCAGAGGACAGGGAGAAAAGGAGCAATCATCAGCAAAGGCTGAGAAGGAGCAGCTAATGAGATAAATGGAGAACCGAGAGAGTGGCAGACCAGAAGCCATGGGAAAATGTGTCTCGGGAAGAAGGGATGATTTGCTGTGTCACATGTTGCTGATAGAGAAATTAATATGAAGGCAGGGAATGTGACCCCAGGATTAAAAAATGTGAAGTAAGCCATTGATCTTGACAAGTGCAAGTATGAAGAAATGCTGATCAGAGTTCATTCAGGAGAGACAAGGCTGAGAACAGGAGGGATGGGAGACAGCAGGTAATAACAGCTCATTGAGGACCGGTCCATCATGTGCCAGGCTCTGTGCCAGGAGATAAAAATAGATGGTGAGCCAGACAGGCTGTCGGCCTTTGAGGAGCCCACAGTCCAGTGGAAGAGAGAGATGTTTGAATAAATCATTGTAAAACTCCATGATAGGTGATCGAATAGAGGTATATACAGGGAGCTCTGTGAGCACAGAGGAGAGTGAGTGAGTCCCTCTGAGGTGAAGACCTTTGAACTCAGCCTGCAGTAAGATCAGGTTTCTAGGTGGGGAAAAGAAGGAAGGGCATTTGTTCCAGAGTTCATAAGAGCAAAGATCACTTTTTTTCTTAAAAAAAAAAAGATTTTATTTATTTGTTTTTAGAGAGGGAGAAAGAGAGGAGAGGAACATCCATGTGTGGTGGCCTCTTACACACCCCCTACTATGGACCTGGCCTGCAATCCAGACATGTGCCCTGACTGGGAATCAAACCTGTGACCCTTTGGTTCACAGGCTGGCAATCAATCCACTGAGCCACACCACCCAGGGCAAGACCATTTTTCATTCTTTCTATCATAATCTCCAGCTACCAAAGAGGCTTGCCCACAGCAGATGCTCAGACTATATTTGCTGAATGATTTGTGAATTCCAATGAGAGGAATATGCAAAAAACAGAGTTTGCAAAAGAAACTAGTACAGTAATTTTGAAAGTAGCATCAGGGGTAGAGAAAAGAGACAGTTGAAAGTGCATTTTAGGTTGTACTAATCTATCTGGAGGGAAAAAGGGGTGTTACAGATAATTTGAACACTCATACATTAGCTACTTCGGTTAGTTGAGTGCAAGTACCTTGTGTTAATGGCTTCGTATCTTCAGGAAATGGCTTTGTATGCCTAGGAAAGTGCCTGGTGCTTGATTGCTGGATTGACTGAATACTGTTGCCTGCAAGGAAGGCTACAGGAGAAGGGGTGATTTGTGAGTGTTGGGGGCAGATGAGAGTGAGATTGAAGAGGACACTGGGGGAACTGTCATTATATATTGGACTAATAGAATAGAGGAGAGAGACGTGAGGGGAAGAGAAAGAAATCATAGAGAAAGAGATAATGGACATAGAGAGATCTCGACCAGATATGTGGACTTTAAGTTACCAGTCTGTAGGTGATATTCAGATGTATGGAATTATATGATCTTTCCCAAGAATGTCTAGAGTAGGAGGACAACTGAGCTGGAGTGCTAGGAACTGACTCAGAAGGTAGAGGAAGGAGCACATAAAGGGGACAGCAAGGAGCCCACAGGGATGTGGGAATAAAATGAGAGTGGATGGTTTTGTAGTCATGTGGGGAGAAAGTCTTGAGGAAGAAAAATCAATACCATCAGAGTCTTCAGTGAAGACCAATAGAGTGTGGAATAAAAACAGGTCAGATTTGCCCTGTGTTTTTATTGACCAGATTACCTGGAAAGATGCAGGTCGATTTAACCAGATGGGGATGTGTCAAGGGGTTGAAAAGTGAATGCTAAGGGAAGGAGACTGTGAGGATGGATGACTCTTTTGAGAAGTAGACACATTTTTTGATGAGTATACTGGTGAAGAGAAGCAAGGTGAGTATTGGTTGTTTGAGATGTGGGGTAGGAGATTAGTTTTTAATAAATTGACAAAGACTTAAACTCATGTGGGCTCTTTTAATTGAAAGAGGAAATATTTAAAATACAAAAAAAGTGAAATCCTAGAAGAGATGAAAATGGATGGAACATACAGTTCAAGGAAACATCGCCTTAGATGAAAGCACATGGTCCTTTTCTTCCTCTGGGAGAGACAGGCAGACAGACTAGAGGAAGGATGAGAGAAGCAGAAACTGGAAATGAGGGAGTTCACTCATGACATCCTCAATTTGGGGAGATAAGGGAAGGAAGAGACAAGGTCACCCACTGAGATTGGAGAAGGCATGGTAGTGAGCTCAAGGTGGGTGGTGAAGGTTTGGAACCAAGATCTTAATGAGATTAGAAATACAAATTTCCACGATCCATTCTGCTACCTTCCCTCATGACTCTCCCTGGCCTGATGAAGGCAAGGAGAGAGTAGTGGAAATTGGCAGAGTGGAGATGATGGAGAGAAAAGGAACTTGGGAAATGAGTGTACTGGTGAGAGTGACCCCCTAGGACTTTGAAGGGTAATTTGAAAAACACTCCTGTAGCAATTTGGGAAGAAGTGGATGACTATTAAGAAGAGGGGGGAGTGTGCTCAGGTAGACCAGAAGTTTAGAACGATAAGTAGCAGGAGGGCTTTGAACACATTAGAAGAGAAGAAACACAGTCATTGGCGAGAGAGGAGTCCAGCCTGGCCTGGCCTAGGGCAGTAGATGGGGGTGGAAAGGACATAGGAGATTCAAGACTCATTACAGCTCTTTACAGCTGGACTCCACATTAATCAGAGATTGGGTCTAAGGCACCAACTCGGGAAAGAAACACGGGGAAAACCAAAGGGCTTGGGGAACCCGTGTCCATGGGTTGAAGTGGTCGGTGGCACACAGTCCTAATTATAACAGAGGGAAGCTCCGGCAGGACAGAGCTGAAGCCATGCCCTGTCTTCTGAACCTCTAGGATACAAAGGGTATGGAGACCTGGAGGGGAAAAAATGAGTAGTAGCCAATGATTGTCCCAACTTATAAACTAAGCTTGTTACAGCACTGGGGTGAGGAAAGGCCAGAGCTGAGTGCTAAGAGGGCCGGGGGAGCACTGGCCCACACATGCTTTGCTGGAGGCAGTGTAATTTGGAACAATATTTTTGGAAAGCAATTTGCATACCATTGAGTGATAAAAATGTTCAAGCCATGTGACCTAGTAATTCTACATGTGGGACTTTGCCCTAAGGAAATAGTTCAAAAGAATAAATAGCCTATGTTCATTCATCCAAATGTCAAATAATTAAACAATGAATTAGAAATAATACATTGTATTATGTACATTCTAGGAACTCTGCTAGGGGAATGAATACGTTCTCTGTGTGGCAATGTCAATAATAGTAAAACATAGTAAACAACCTAAATTATTAAAAATGACAGACTGTTCTGCTTTAATGCTATATGACAAGCAGAACATTCAAAAAGACCTGGTGGCTGCTCCAGTTAAGAGACGTTCTCTTGCATTTACTGCCTGGGCTTGAATTTTGACTGTGAAATGCCCTGGCAGTTGACCTTGGCAAGTTCATCAGTGCCATAAGATTCAGTGACTTGAACACTAAGGTGGGTACCACTTTATGGGATTGCTGTTGAGATTAAATAAGAAAAGGTGTGCCAAGTGCTAAGCACAATTCCTAGCACACAAGTAACAATCCACTTTTACTCCATAAAAGTAGATTATTATTTTAAATACATAAATATGTGTGTCAATGGAAAAAGACTGACAGAGACTTCCCTAATTTCCAGTCTCAAATTTATAGCCCCAGGAAATATTGTGGGTGATTTGTTTCCCCTATTTTGTTCAGTATCATTTCCGTAAAACCTTTGGGGTCATAGACAACACAGAAAATCAAGAACTAGGCAAAGCACTTTGGCCTGTCACTTCATCCAAGGGAAGTCAGAGTGATGCGCATGTCCTGTTTTTCTCTTCCCAGCGGTGTTTGGCCAGCGCTTGGATGAGACTGTAGCCTATGAGCAGAAATTTGGCCCCCACCTGGTGCCCATCCTTGTGGAGAAGTGTGCAGAGTTCATCCTCGAGCATGGCCTGAATGAAGAGGGCATCTTCCGACTGCCTGGGCAGGACAACCTGGTGAAGCAGCTCAGAGATGCTTTTGATGCAGGGGAGAGACCCTCCTTTGACAGGTATGCGTCTACACCTTGCCGTCTCCTCTGCCTTACTTGGGTAAGAGGACCTCTTTTTTCCAGTTGAGCTGTGGGACTCACACAGACACTTTCAAGAGCCTTGGCTCGCAATAGAAAGGGCCTTTTGTGTTGCTCATTCTTCAGAATTTGAAGTCTGGAGCACAGTTAGGAGAGCATGGTGATCAGTTACCTGAGGGATAGGAGAGCCCGCTGGGTAGAGTCAGCAGACGTTTAGCATATAGGGGCAAGGAAGTGTGAAGTAGGGGAGAAAGACAGGCCCTGGCTTCAGGTCCAGCCTTTGGGGCAGATAAGGACTGTGGAGCTGAGTTGGCTGTACAACAGATTGCAAGAGGGAGAATGCACCTTGTCTAGACCCATCGGCTCCGATTGTCTTCCTCAGCTGTCCTGAAGTCGCAGAACCAGGACTTGTTAGTTTGGGAAAGCACAATATTATCCAACTCTGAATTTAGTTCTGAGCCCTTATGGAGGGAGTATATAATAACAGGTTGGCAGCTGGTGTTCTCTCGAGTCTGTTCAGGGGAGTTGACCAGCCCTGTTTGGGACTTACCATGGGTGGGGGCACTTCTCCCCCACCCTCCTCATCCATGTAGGGGCACTTCTCTCCGACCCTCCCCATCCGTCTCCCCATGTCCCCCTCACCCCACCTCCTCCAGCCCCCCAGCTGAGGTTTTCTTGCCCGCTATGCTCAGCTGGTGCACTGCTACCCTGACATAGCACACGCTCTGCCTGTTGTGTAATATTTACCTTGGTTGCCTGCGTGCACTTGTCCTGCTGACAAGAAAGAATCATTGTTCTTTCCAAATCAGCACCCCATAAACCAAGATTTAGCAAGACAGGCCTGAACACTATCCAGTTTACAAAGGTTGACATTCCTCACGGGCTTACTTAGGACTGAGGAGCAGGGCTGACCCTGGGGAAAGAGCAAATAGCTGGGATTCATGCCGTGTGAACAGTCTGGCTGCTTACCTCTTCCTCACCTCTCACTTCAGTCCCCAACATTGTCCTTTCTCCCTCCAAAGCTAAGACCCTTCTCTAAGGGTCTCTAAGACCCTTCTGTTTTCATTCTCACAGCCACTGAGTCTGGACCACCATAGGTCTGTCTTTGCTGTCCTTGGCATGTAATAGGTTAATTTAGCAAGGGTGCCCTATTTTAATAGGAAAGCAATGGGTAGAGTTGTTCCTGGAACTATAGCAGGTTAAGGACCTTTCAGTGGCACCATAAATTGCTTTTAATTATCAGGCACCTGTTCAATTAAGCTCAACACCTTTACATTCAGTTTTCTTCTTATGATTTTAATTAGTTTTGAGTTGATCAAAAGATACAGGTGGGTTGTTGCAAAAGCAATGTGAAGTCAGCCAGGAGGAGCACAGGTGATTTTAGGGGTTTGCCAAATCCCTGCCCTAGGCTTGAGTTTATGCATCTATAAAATCAGCCTGGGTGGTAGAGCCAGAGTCTTTGATTCCTCTGAAATACTTGGGACTGGAAGGAGGAAAGTTATCACACATCTCCACTGCCAGAACTGAGGAGTTCGCACATTCTGAAATAGGAAGGGGTCTTCGGGGTCCACCCTGGACTGCTGCTTGGGTCCACATGACCCTTGCGGGTGCTCATCTAGACCCTCTACCTCGATCACATGTGCAGTTTCACCATGAGTTTCCCCAAACCACCTCACTAGAACAAAGAAAAACAAGGGAGCTCTAATTTATAATTCTATAAGAGAGCAGGTGTGTCTAGCTCTCATTAAAGATATAAACATGAATTTAATTATCTCTTTGTCCAGTCTCCACCAGGCTGGATACTGCCCAGCTACAAGGCTGATGTACTTCTGATGCCTATTATTTCTGTGAGAAACGCACATAGGCCTTCTGCATTGGAGGGTCCGTGCTTCAGGGGAAGGGTAGCTAGAGCCATGGGAGGAGCCTTGGCTAATCTCTGGTGGGCCAGGGGTCCAGCTCAGGAGCCACCTGGCTCCTGACTTGCTCTTAGTCCTTGATTTAAAAAAATTATTTAAGGATGTTTTGTGGGGTTGGAGGAACAGCAAGTGCAGAAAGTATCCTGCTGGAAACTTAGACTATAATAATGACATCTGAGTCGGCCCTGCTCCATTGGGGTACAGACATTAAACCAGAAATTTATAGAAATAACTGCATGATTTTCATGTGTTAAGTGCTAAAAATGAAAAATAGATGAGAATTTAGAACAGGGGCTTTTGGTATGGTCTGATAAATTTAGGAAGGTTCCCAGGAAAATGACATTTAAGCTGAGACACAATAAACAAGCATGAGGAGTGAGCCAGGTGAAGTAGCCTTATGTTTCCCTGGTCAAGTGAATCAGGCAGCTCTCTGGGGTCCTGGTGTTCTCAGAGGATTTATACAGTTAACTGTGTTCTTTGATTATAACTTCGAAGTACCTATAATGTATTTGTGGCTAGCCCACTTCTCTTCTCATGTTGTATATTTTTGCTGACTTAGTTTCTCCCGATTAAACTGTCTAGTAGTTTTTCTCTTTTGTTTTTGTGTTTCTCTTCAAAAGATTCTGTTTTGTTGATGTATCATCTATGCTGTTTTTCTCATTTCAAATTCTTTGTTTTTTACATTCTTTCCACGGGTATGTTTTGAGTGCTGGGGGCCTGGAGGCAGGAGGCTTAGATAGAAGGCTGAGCCTGCTCCTGGCAACAAAGAAACAAACAAGCAACAAAGAAACAAACAAGCAACAAAAACAACAAACTCCTGAAAACATGGAGTGGAAGGAGGACTTAGATGTTTTCCAGTGACATTCAGAGGGTAGAACTGAGGGGTTGGGGAGACTAACTGGATGTGGGGTCAGGTAGCGGCCCCAGTCAGGGGAAGACCCTAGATTCTGAGTAAGACCTGGGTGGACGGTGGTGCAGGGACATTAGGAGGATGCCACTCCTGTGAGTTACCAACTGGTGATCTTTCTGACGCTTTCTTGGGAACTTCCTGTGTATTTCAACAAGAGAAGTTTACCCAGGAAATTTTCGGGCAGTGACTCAGCAGGGAAGTCTTTTCCAGAGTCCCCACCCCTGGTTTCCTGAGGGCAGCCATGGAGCACAGACACGGACCTCGCCAGCTGAGGAACAGGGTCCCCGGGCAGCAAAGCGGGAGACTTCAAGAAGGCAGCTCCCACCACCGGCTGTCAAAACCAAATTTTTAAAATATTTGCACGCAATGCGAAGACAGAGCTATATTGTCAAGCCCTGGTGTTCTTGTTTCCGCTTTCTCAAGTGCCTCCCTTCTCCTGTCCAACCCGCCCATCCCGTCTGTCACGCAGGAGGAATCCCCCCCAGCAGATTCTCCGTTACCGACTGCTGAGGAAGGGGGACGCTCAAATGATCTGAACCTCTTACCACATCACAGCTTTCCAGCAGCACCAAGACTGTCTCTTAAGAACACCAGTTTTTCTTGATATGAAATAAATTAATATTTCTTCACTAATGGTCTTCAAGTATGTGGTAGACTTGGGCTTATTTTCTGTATGGAAAAAATGCAATAGGTCTATAAACCAGGGGTCAGCACATGTTTTTTAAACGGCCACATCCAAAATATTTATCTTTCGTGGGCGAGACACGCCCTAGCTGTAGGTTGCTCCTACAACTACTCAACTCTGCTCTTAGCTCAGCTCAGCCAAAGACTCTACAAGATGAATGAGCACAGTTGTGTTCCTGTCGCACTTTATTTATGGATGCCGAATTAAAATTTGATATAATTTGTACATGCCGTGAAATATTCTTTTTTTTTTTTTAGTTATTTCTCCAACCATTAAAAGGTGTAAAAGCCATTCTCAGCTAGTTAGCTGTACAAATTACAGGCAGTGGCCAGATTTGGCTCTTGGGTCAAGGTGTGTCGACCCCTGCTAGCGAAGCTGTGCTGAAGAGCCGGGTCCTTTCCCGCTAATCAGGAGATCAGATAAATGTTGTCTCAGTTCCTGCAGCAGGGTCGCCTCCCCTTACCCTCCAGGCTGATACGCATGCTGCCTGCTGCATGCTGTAACTGTTCCTCACTAAAGAGATCTTGTCTGAAGAGTCTCCTATGGCTCCCAGCTCTGCATTAAGTGTCTCTTCCCACATTTCCATACAACCCCCAGTCCTGGACATCCCTTGTCTTGGTCCTAACCACACAGTATTCTAATGACTTGGTAAGATCTGAGTTTGCCCAGCCCTGTGGTTCAATGACGTGAGGGTTCCCATGTGGCCCCAGGGTTCGCTGCTGAAATCCCTGTGCCTGACGTAGTATCTTGCATCCAGTGGGTTCTTTCAATGCTTGTTGATTGAATGAATGATTGCATAAATATATGAATGAATCCCAGAACTATTTTAAGGCTCTGAGGGATCAAGTAGATCAATGGACCATGAATATAAAGCAGTTATCATATGAAAAAATGAGGTACTAAGTACAGAATGCTAAATTGTGAGGTGCTAAGTGACTTGGAGAAAGAAGAAGGCAATGAAGATCAAATGGTTGAAGATTTAATGAAAAAGTAAACCTTGAACTTTCCTTTAAGGCAGCTGGGTAGAATTGATAAAGGAAAAAGTGTTGGGGGTTATTACTCCACAAAGGAATGAGCAGATATGTTTTGGTGGATGCACCTCTACCAGACTCGACTCCTCTGCAAAGCTCCCCTTTGGATGTAGGACTCTATTCAGTGAATCATCAGTGGGGAGGTGAGGAGACTCCTGGAGTTTTGCTTTTAAAGAGCGTTGCTTATTTTCTTCCAGAGATACAGATGTGCACACAGTGGCCTCCCTGTTAAAGCTCTACCTCCGAGACCTCCCAGAGCCGGTGGTTCCCTGGAGCCAGTATGAGGGGTTCCTGCTCTGCGGGCATCTCATGAATGCTGACGAGGCAAAGGTTGGTGTCTCAGAGAGTTGGGTGTCTCACTGGGAAAGGTGGGGGTTACTGAACACTGTCCTGGTAGGCAAGCAGCGGTGGGTCAGAGGGCCTGTACCTTTTGGTGAGATACTTTGTCCAGCTGGAACTTCCTTGGCAACAAAAGGCAAATGAAGCCAATTACAGTGACAGTTTTCACAGGATCGAACAGTCCGATAAAGAATTGGACCGTAATCAAATAGCGCCAAGTCACTTTAACATCAGTAAGAGAACGGGGACGCACTGGAGAAGGGTTTCCAGCAATACGGCCTTGTTGAGACTCACTGGGGCACAAGGTCAGGCTGACCAACCTGGAAAGCAAGTGAAAGGTCAGAATGTGCAGTTCTATGATGACCATGCGTGTCAGACGTGGGCCTACAAAGAACACGTGTGCCAGAGAGAGAAGCAGGGAGCTGTTCTTTGTTTCTTTCAGCGGCAGCTGCCTGCAAGGGCTGTACCTCCCCATGATAACTCCTCAGTTTGGTGTGTGTTTTTCAATAACTTTTTAAAAATGATTTTATTTATTTATTTTTGGAGAGAGGGCAAGGGAGGGAGAAACATCGATGTGTGGTTGCCTCTCATTTGGCCCACACTGGGGACCTGGCCCACAACCCAGGCATGTGCCCTGACTGGGAATCGAACCTGTGACACTTTGGTTCGCAGCCCGCACTCAATCCACCGAGGTACGCCAGCCAGGATTTCAATAACTTTTTATTTAAAAAAAACTATAAATTCACAGATATTGCAAGGTGTCAGCTGGTTGCAAGGTTGTGTAGAGAGGCTCGTAGTTTTTGCATAGTGTTACTTTTTCATTTCCTTGTTATTACCCCTCTTCTTGGTGCTACCCTGAGGCAAGGACTATTCAACAACTCCTACTCAAAATTGTTTGCTTAATGAATGCTTGAGATGTGACACTCCAGGAACACTGCCCGAGTGCTACTTCTACACAGACACACCAACTATGTTTCAGGGTCTCACCGTTGTCAAGGGAGCAGCCTCAGTCACTGGTGTTAAAAATCTCTTTCCAGGCTCAGCAGGAGTTGATGAAGCAGCTTTCCATCCTTCCTCGGGACAACTACAGCCTCCTGAGCTACGTCTGCAGGCAAGTCCCCGGGTATCAGCTACTCAGTTTTCAATCACAGCAGAAAGAAGCCCCTTGGTAGAGAAGGAAAGAGTGTCTCTGTGAACTCAGGGATTCTGGTTCCGATCTTTGTAAGGTCAACTCTATCTATACATAGCTCCAACGTAGATTTCCGTGTCCAGGAGATAATGTAAACAATCTTCTGAAAATTGGGTCAGCTCACAAATGTACCCGCTTCTTCCTTAGGCCCTCCCAGCACTGCCCAGAGTCCTGGGACATGCAGCAGAATACAGAATCTTTATAATGTTTCTAGAACTATCTCCCATATTCCTGACTCTGAGCCATACATTAGTGTCCCAGAGACATACGCTCCAGGCCACCCTTTCGATTCCTCTTTCTGGGGACCTGCCGTGTGTCACCTCTGTGGCAGCATGCACCCTGTGGGCAGGCACAGATCCTGATGAGCTGGGAGCCTGGATCTCCTTGCCAGACGGAGCTGAAATTTACCTTGATTTATTGATTTAAATCAATAATCAAATTATTGAGTTAAAATACAATAATTTGTTGTAGTTTCCAGATTATAAAAAGTGATACATGCTTGATTTGCAAACCAGGAAAATGCAACATGCTGTAAATAAGAAATAAAAATACCCATAATCTTCTTACCCAGCAAAAATTATTATTAACATTTGGATGTTTTTCTTTCTGGGTATTTTTCTCTCTCTGATAGATTTTTTTACGTATATCGTTATAAATGCATCGGGACAATTTTTTATACCAAATTGGAATTATAGATCTATAATATGCACATATATGTATATATATAAATAGTTGTATCCTGCTTTCTTTTTTGGCTCAGTGTTTCATTGTGAGCATTCCCCTATGTCATAAAACTGGATTATAAATAACTTCACATATTCCATAAAGTTTCCTCACTTGGACACAGCAACCTTTATTTGATAATTTTTCTGTATTTGAAATTTTATTGTGCTTCAGTTTATTTAAAGATAGTTTTTAGAAAAGGTATTTAGAAATCCCCTTGTTGATCTGTTTATTTTTTTAAATTGTGAATCTGAGAACTGCATGTCTCAAATGAATAGAATTATAGCAGAAATTGATGGTTAATTATTGAGTACCTTGTGGGAATTTGAGATGCGTGGTGCTGTAATTGGAGGATTCAAGCAAGGAGGCACTGAGGGTTCCCATCTCTGAGATCTTCCTCCCTGGAGACTTGGGTGGAATGAGTGCTAAGAGCCTTGGAAATAAGCTTATAAAGGCAGGACAAGGGTAGTCAGCCATTTTAGTCCTTTTGGTCTCCTCTTAGTTCCCTGAACTGAATGCTGCTTTCTGCCAGTATGACTCCCCTCCCTGTGCCCAGATCAAGTCCACCACCTCAGCTGGACAGGGCCTTCCTGGTTTCTATTCTTCCTTGATCTTAAATCTTTTGGGGTAGAACTAAATTCTCATGGAAGGAGCAGGCTGATCTCATTCCTGAAATCAGGAGGAGTGTTGAGATCCATCTCTGAAATCTCATTGGTACCTGGAAGTGCTTTCTTCTGGCAACATCCTATTTCCTATTCTGGGATCTCCTCGTTATCCACAGGTTCCTACATGAAATCCAACTGAACTGTGCTGTTAACAAGATGAGTGTGGATAACCTGGCTACTGTGATTGGTGTGAATCTCATCAGGTCAAAGGTAGAAGACCCTGCTGTGATTATGAGAGGTATGGCTGGTCCTGTGGGAAGGCAGATACAGAGGGACTCACAGTTACAACACTAGCCCTTATGTCTGTGTACTGATCTGTAATTTGCCATGAATTTTGAGCTGATTATCTTGTCTGAATTGTAGAATAGCCCTGTGAAGTCAGGCGGGTGGGAATTGTATCCATTTTCTAGATTGCAGCAGAGGTTAACAAAGATTTATCTAACGTAGTACAGCAGGCTAGCACAAACAGTTAGCTAGTGTTTCTTAATCTTTTATTATGTTTAAATACCTCTAGCCAGGAAAAACAAACAAGTTTCATTTATAAGTCAGCTCACCAAAAAGGGTACTTGTAACGCTGTGTTGAAAAGGCTTTTGAGGTTGAGTATTAGATCAGTGAGCAACAGTCCTGCCGTAGAATACTGATGTTGACCATGGAGTTGGGGAGGCAGTATGCCTGGCATGTATTTGCTATGTGTGCAGTAAGACACCGGATGTCATATTGAAGACCACATTAGGAGAGACGGATGTTTTAATTTTCTCTACCATTAGATCACTAATTTCCTGATTAAGACTGATCCAGTGGAGTGTTGGCTGAAAAAATCCTTTTACCCCAGTTCACATCCTTCTTCATTCCCATCCATTTCACTGCAGTTTCCCACCCCAAGCAATTAAGAAGCATTCTATGAGGAGAAAAATGAGGTCTTCTGGGGCCATGTGGTTTTAGAGTCACTTTTGGAGACATCCCATGGGTAGAAACCTTTGGGGACTGCCTTTCTCCTGCCCCGTGGTCCAGCATTTCAAATCTCTTTGTTCTTCTTTCAGGAACTCCTCAAATTCAAAGAGTGATGACCATGATGATCAGAGACCATGAAGTCCTCTTCCCCAAGTCCAAGGATGCACCCCTGTCACCCCCAGCCCCCAAAAATGACCCCAAGAAACCTCCCGTTGCTCGAAGCTCTGTGGGCTGGGATGCCTCTGAAGATGTCCCAATTTCTAGGACAAACAGCTTCAGTAACATGGTGAGGTTATAGAGAGCCCTCTTCCTTCCATCCAACTCTTTCTTTAATCCAGGTCGTCCCATGTGAGAGCTGCCCTGGGTGGCAGTTTGGGGAGTTTTGGATGATGCTGTGTCAGTGAGCACAGCTGGTACAGATTCATTTGAATGTGTCCTGAAAGCTTGGTGTCTTTCAAAATCTAGTCTCTGCATCATGGAGGTGGAGTTACTGACATGTGTGCCAATCACCAGATGACTGAGCAATGGGGTTCTTCGCTGAAGCCCACCCCAGAGGGAAACACTTTGAAGCACAGTCAAGGGAAGTTCAATGGAGAAAAAGATACATCACCTTGTAAATGTCTTAGTGAGGGTTGTTGAAAAGTCTGGGTCAAAGTCCAGAGAGAGCTGGTTTCCTGCTAACCCATGAAACGTGATTTCTTTCTCAAAGCATGTGATGTGTTCCTGTAATATTTCTCATTCCCTGATAACCTTTCTCAGCAATGTCAGCCCCCTCTTTGTAATGAAGGGCTGGGGCTCATGTTCCCAATGTCAGAAAACTCTGCAGACTTTTAAATTTAGACTCTTTGAGTGCAACAATTCACAAAGGTCAAATATTTTCACATATTTATAGAAACAATTAAAAAATAAAAGAACATGTGAACTTTATATAGCAGCCTGATTCTTTATGTGTAATCAAGAAGCAAATTAAAAATTTTGGGTTGACTAGATAATGTAAGTTACCTATAGTACTTTTAATCCCACGGGTGCTTAAGAAAGGATTGAAAAAAAATAGTAGATAGTGGTGGTGATGGTGGAAATATTTCCTAAGTGGTCTCAGCACAATGCATCTTACTAACACTCAAAAATTAAATTAATATTTAGAAATGCTCATACTTCATACAGTGGAATCATCCTAGAGGTCCTTGAGACTAGGCTTTCTTATGCTCACTGGACAGATATCGGTGTAATTATGGGCAGCTATGCACAGCACTGCACTGGCAAATTTAAACAGATCACCTCTGGAGTCCTCACCATAACTCTGAAGCGTAGAATTTATCATGCACTTTTTTTGTTTGATGACCCGATTCTCAGGGAGGTTGACCAGCTGGCTCAAGATGGCAACACTAGAATGTCACAGAATGAGATTTAGATGTAGTTCTTGCCTCAGGGCCTAGGTACTTCTGACTTCTGATGAGCTTTTTGAAGCAGCTGATTAACTAGAAGGGTTAGAAGGAGAACTTTAGCCCTGATTTTCTGATTTTACATTTAGGGTTCATTTCTTCTTTGTTCTTTTTCTTTTTAATTTAACTTAAAAATATATAATATGGCCCTGGTTGGTGTGGCTCACTAGACTGAGCGCTGGCCTGAAAACTAAAGGGCCACAGGTTTGATTCCCAGTCAGGGCACAAACCTGGGTTGTGGGCTAGGTCCCCAGTGGTGGGGCATGCATGAGGCAACCACACACTGATGTTTCTCTCCCTTCCCACTTTTAAAAATAAATAAAATATTTAAAAGTATATACATATATATGTAATATGTAGACACAGTTGAGAAGATAAAAAAGAAGAAAAAGAGCTACACTGAGAAGTTCTCCCTTCTCTATCTCTACCCATTCCATTCTTCCCTGCATTTATTACTTTCTTATATATCTTTCCAGTGTCCCTTTGTGCAAATATAAGCAGATAGGAATATAAATTGTTATTTACCTCTCTTTTTTACATAAAATATAACAATCTCACATACTCTCCACATATCACACACACATGCACTCACACACACACTTTCCTCTGTATCTTGAATTTCTCCATTTAAGAGTCTATATACTAGAGAGCTTTTCATGTCACTACACAGACAGCTACCTCATATGACTTCATGTTTTTAGCTGGTGTATAGTGTTCCATTCTGCACTTGTACCATAATCTACTTAACCAGCCCCTGTAGATTCATTCCTTTGTACTACAAATAAGGCTGCAATAAATAACCTTGGCTGTGCTTCATTTTGTATGCAGGCAGATGTATTTCTGGGCTAAATTCCCAGAACTGTAATTGCTGAGTCACAAGGTAAATAGATTTGTGATGTGTAATTTTGATTAAAATTATCAAATGAATTTGTGCCATTTTGTAGTTCCACCAGCAATGCATGAAAGAACCTGTTTCCTTACAGCTTCACCAGCAGAGGTGTGTTGTCAAATTTTGGGGTCTTTTTTGAAGGGGGAGTATCCTTTTGATAGGTGAGAACTGATATTTCAGTAATTTTACTTTGAGTTTCTCCTATTATTAAAGAGTCCAATCATCTTTCTTATGTGTAAGGGCCAGCTTCGTTTTCCTCTGTGAATCACCTTATCTTGTCCTTTGCCGATTGGCTATTGGTCTTTTTCTTTTCAATTTTTATGACAATAAAAATTGAAAAATCTTTTCAATTTATATATTAGGGCAATTAGCCTGTTGTCAGTGATATGCATTGCAAGTATTTTTCCAGTTTATCATTCTTTACTTGATTTAGCATGTAGTGATTTGTGTGTTTTAATTTTGTTCATTTTAGTTTTGGGGGTCATGCCATGTAGGTTGAACTTATCGGGCTTTTCCTTTATGGCTTCTGGATTTTGAGTCACAGAAAGGCTTCCCCACTTTACAGTTGGAAAAGAATCCTGGCTTAGGACTCTTTTACCACAAACATACAATGCTTTATTTAGGTTTTCACTTCTAGAATATGAGTTCTTTCAACTACAGTGTTCTTTTAAAAAAAATGCCAGTCAGATAATCAATTTATCTGACCATTGAAAAGAATGTCTTCTAATCAGCTTCATAGGTGTGCAGCCCGGAAATACTTTCCTTTAAGTCTTTAATTCTTTTCTGGGGAACAAGACACGTGTGGGAAAAACCCATATGACATTCATGGTCATTTTTTTCTAGACCAGTGACGTGGAAGCAACCAGCCCCACTGGACAACGGCCAAGTGATGTGTGTCTGGAAGACAGTAGCAAAGCTCCCAGGGAAAAACCAGGAGACTGGAAGCTGCAATCACGAAAAAGGACCCAGACACTCCCTAATCGGAAATGTTTCTTGACAGCATCTTTTCAAAGTGCCAACAGCAGCAAGATGGAGATCTTCAAAAATGAGTTCTGGTCACCTTCTTCAGAGGTGAACGCAGGGGATGGGCATAGGAGAACGATGTCTCAAGGTGTGCCCAACCTTTCTGACTCCCAGAGGACTTCCACCTATGATAACATCCCTACTCTGCCAGGGTCCCCTGGGAATGAAGCAGGGGCACTCGCCTCTGGTGCCTCTGACTCCAAGAGAGATACTCTTTCCAACCCAAACTCTGAAACCAGGCCTGGGACAAAGAACTCTGGAGAAGAGGAACTTGAATCTTTGCAAAAGATAGTCCAGGATCTGCAAAAGGAAATAGAAACACAGAAGCAAACGTATGAAGAACAGGTTAAAAAGTAAGTCACACACGGTGGGGAGCCACTTACCTTCCATCTTTAGAAGCAGTGAGGATTATTCTCGTCTGCCAAAGAATGACATTGTAAACCTTCAGTTTAGAGAATACAGTAACCTATAGCAGTAAAAGGAATGATGAGATGACTAAATTAGTGAAAACTCTAAGCTTTAAATTCATGAACAATTATGTAGCTTCAGTAGCTTAATCAATATTTCCAAATGTTGATTCTTTAAGGATCAACATACTTTAATGAATTAAGAGGAACTTAAAGTTTTCTTTCATATTAGTGTGATTTATCTATTCTGACAGTATTTATTGAGCACCTATTGTGTGTGCTAGGTATAATCCCAACTATTGGGGAATAACACTGAACAAAACAAACAAAAGTCCCTATGTTAATGGAGCTTTCCTTCCAGTGGGAACAGACAAACAATACAAATAAGTGATGAGAATATGTGCTATGCCAGATGGTGGAAAGTGCCATGGAGAGAAATAAAGCAGGCCAGGAGGTTGGGAGATTTAAGAAAGGGGTTCCGTATTAAATAGGGCGGTCAAGAAGGCCATCCGAGAAGATGGCATTAAAGCAAAGGCCTGAAGAAGAAGAGGGAAGAAGTCAGGTCTACATGTGGGAGAAGAGCAGGCCAGGGAGAGAGAAGCAAATGTGCAGAGGCCGGGGGACGGGAGCAGGTCTGGTGTGTTCATGCACCCAGAATAGGGGCGAGCTAGAACATGAGGAAGTAACTGAGACCAGAGAGGGCAGAGAAGTGCAGGAGACCAGGGCACAAGTCAAATCATTTGTAGAACTACAAGACTTGTGTGATACCTTGGCAGTGACCAGAACAGTCCTGGAGAGACTCCCACTGTGCTCTAACATGAGTGTCACTGACAGGGTGGGGAAAGAACTGGCTTCCATGGAGGCAGCCACTCCTTCTGAATAGAAGAGTCTTCTGAGCCCACTGTGAGGGGCCTCCCACTCTTGGTGGAGGGAGAAGTAACAGTCCTACAGTGTCTGAGTTTCATGCTTCGGGCATACCTTTTCATGTAACCCCCATAGCAATTGTTTGAAATAGAAAATATCCCCATTTTACAGAAGAAAGGAGGCTCAGGAAGGACAAAAAGATTTCCAAATGACCCACACCTAATCACTGGAGGGGCTGAGATTTGAACCTTGGTTGACCAGCTCCCAGGTCCACTCAGGTCCTCCCTCTCCACTGAAATTACTGGTCAAGATCTAGCGTAGTGTTTCATTTGAGATGTTCCCCAAAACAAGAGGTATGTGGAGAATTTGGAGAAGAAAACTAGGTTTGTAATGGGAGGACCAGAGGGAATGAGACTAATGTAGTTTTATGAAGCAATAGGCAGTAGTAGACAAGGCTCTGGAGAGGGGCCATTACATGCAGACTGGGACAAGCCGTTGGAGATAGGAGTCAGGCATGGGCTCAGATGGGAGCTCCAATCTCCATATAAAGTGGTCAGGCTGTTGGGGAAGCAGAGAGGCAGCACCTCTCAGAATTAAATTTTCAATCACACAATCTTCCCACAGGCCTGAAATGTCCTCTTTTAACTTAAAAAATAGGACATGTACTCTCATTCCTAAGAGTTAGTTCAACACAGCCTGGTGGGGGGCACATGGGGCTAGACTGAGGTTTAGGCCAGCAACAGTGAAAATCCTCTGAATTCAGGAATCTAATAGCTTCTTCTCCTGGAGCTGGATTTGGAAGTGAGGATGGGACTGCCAGGACTGCTGCTCTCAAAGGGAAGTTCCTTGGACTTCTCCAAATCTTTATCCCTAGGAGGCCTTAATAAGAGAAGGCACTGGTCTATACTCACCATTGAAGCAGGATGAGAAGGCGCTCAAGTGTAATAAAGGTGTTGGGAATCTGGAATATGAGTGGGGCTTTAGCAGCCAATCAACTTTTTTTTATTGTTTTTCAATTACAGTTGTCCCAATTTTTCCTCCATTGCTCTCCCCTGCCTCGCCCATGCCCACCCCCACAACCACCCACTCCCTCAGTCAATCCCCACCCTGTTGTCCATGTCCATGGGTCCTTTATACATGTTCCTTGACTAGACCCTTCCCCTTCTTTCCCCTGTTATTCCTCTTCTCCCTCCCTTCAGTCTGTTCCTTGTTTCCATGTCTCTGGTTCTATTTTGCTTTTTTTGTTTGTTTTGGCTCATTAGGTTCCACTTACAGGTGAGATCACATGGTATTTGTTTTTCACTGCCTGGGAGGACTGGTGCAAGGTGCTTGGGGTGTAGGTGTTGAAATATACATAATTAGACATGGTCCCTTTTTTCAAAGACTATTATCTAAAGTGTAAAATGATATGAAAAGAACCATACAAGAGATGTCACAAGATGGTGTTGAATGACAAAACGGGTTCAGACATGCTCTGGAGTTCAGGTTTCCTAGGGACGGCTCTTGTCAGGTTGGGACATAAATAAGTGGTACAGGTTAGCTAGAGGTCTTATTATATGGAAAGGAAAATAGAAGAGGTTGTAAGAGCGAAGGCGGAGTCCAGAGGTAACACCCAATTCTTCCATTCCTTTCTTGTAGCCTTGAGAAGGAGAACTATGATGTCTGGGCTAAGGTGGTGAGGCTCAATGAAGAACTGGAGAAGGAGAAGAAGAAGTCTGCAGCCTTGGAAATCAGCCTCCGCAATGTGGAGCGCTCCCTGGAGGATGTTGAGAGGAGGAACAAAACCTTGGAAGAAGAGGTCAAGGAATTTGTGAAATCAATGAAGGAGCCCAAGGTGGATGCATGAGGGTCCAGGAGTATATAGAAGGCAGCCCACAGAGGCCTGACACTGCTCCCTTTCTCCTTGCTACCTGAGGTCTGGGAAGCAAAAGCACTCCCTACAGGAGAGAACATCTGGGGGAAAGATATCACATTTCCCAGCAAATAAATCAGTGGAATTTGTGGGAAGATGAGGGTGAGCAGGGACATATGTGGACATCTATGACTGCCTATGGCTGTATTCCAGAGGATTGCCTTATTCCACTGTGGTCTCAGGCTGAGTGAAATGGAACCTTCCATGACTGGATGGCTAGTCCAATGGGGACATTTGAGGCAGGCCTTATTCTAGAACCTAGGGAACAGGTTTTCCCCCAACAAGGCTGGACTGAGGCTTGGTTCTTTGTTTTCTGTGCGGAAGGATTTCACTTAGTCAGATGGCCTCAGGGCATCTCTGAGACACTGGGGCCGAAAATGATCTTCCAAGTTTGAGTGCTCACCATGGTTTTGAGGGGCTGCCCCTGCTGAAGCCAGAGCCCCGTTCTGCCACTCCCACAGTGATGCACAGTCTCCAGGGATTGGAAACTCAAAATTACCATTAGCCTAAGAGAGAATGAACAGTAAACTGTATTTATGAAAGCAAAATCAATGACAAAATTATATTCAAATAAATGAAAAAAGCAGGGCTGCTGATTCATACACCTTTGTGAGAGTTAGTAAAAGCCCCCCCCCCCAACCCTCACCTCACCTGGGGCAGATGCACCCCTCTCACCAGGCCTACGGCCCACTGAGCAGGACACTGACTGGATTCCAGTACTTTCTTGCCTTTCAGTGGCCACAGTTGTATTGTTATACCCACTCTGATGTGACTTCCTTAGAGGCTGGTTGGGGGTTTAGCCAGTTGCAATCATCATAATAATATTTTTTCTGTTTCACCAAATACAGGTGATTTCACCCTTTAATGGGACATTAGCAACTAGGTTTTTCTAGACGGCAGACTTTTCCTTCCACAGTGAGCCAGCAGGCAGAGGCCCCTGGAGAGGCCCCGGGCCTTGGTAGGTAAGATGGTGGAGTCTTTAGTGGTTTTCTAGTTAGGTGGTCTCCAATCTATTTTGACCACGTACCCCTTTAGTAGAAAATATTTGTTCACGTACCCCTAATATAGGAATATATATTTATTTATAAATTACATACACGTCCTATTAATGTATTGCTATGTCATATATATTATAAAATATACACAGAACAGAAATTGGGTAATCAGATAAAAACAAATATAAGTAGATGGTCTCAAATATGCTTTCTGCTCTAGAGACCTCTGGCCCGATTTCCCAGCAGGTATTGCCCAAACAAGTTTGGCTATGTCATTCCATTGCTTCATTAAATTTACTTGAATTCTTGAAGCCACATGGCTTAGTCAGTGGCTTGAAATCTGTGGTTACCACAGTGAGAGTTCAGCCTTCCCCAGTGTCTGCATCTACTCCATTTTTCCTTTACTCTCTTTGTTTTCTTTTTTTCTCTTCCTCTGTTTGTGTTCTTCACTCAGGTTGGTTTCCCCTTGCCTCTGGCCATGACCTATTACTTACAGAGAAAGGTACACATGGGGGTGGGGTGGGAGCATCAGTGTTTCTCAGTCCCACTACTCAGGCCCTGCTCCACCCACCCCAGCCCCTGAGGGCCGACTGATGGAGGGCGAGACAACACCTGGGGCATTCTCTCAGGGGCCTGCTTGCAGAAGATTGGGAAGCTGGGGGATCATCTGGAACATCATTAAATAAAGCAATCAAATACTTGATTTCCAGGAGGTTACTTTTTAAAAAATTACAGAGTAACAAACATGGAAACCCTTATTAAACACCTAATTTACACTGATGAATGTGTGCAGTTCTGTCAGGCATCTATTCCCTCCCATGTGATCCAGTGAGTTCCTCACACTGCTTGTTTGGGTGCTAAAACCTTGAATAAGAAGTAGCTGGCATCACAATTCCAAAGGAAACAAACATTTGTTTGAAGGCACAAACAGGAAGCCTAGTGCCTCATGTTTGGAGATCCATGTTATAGGACTTTGCTGGGTTTTGGAGTGAGAGTGTAAAGGCCACGTTTGAATCCCAACTCCCTCCTGGTCTCGAGATGCCTCTGGTCCTATCTTTGCCATCAGTACAATGAGATAGCAGAGCTGGTCTTGCAGGGTCAGAAGTTGGAGTGTCGCTGCTTTCTCATGATCAAGAGGGAACCCTGCTTGCTGATGCTGCTCCTACTTGCTCCTGGGCCACTTCCCATAAAAAGGGACCATAAGAAAGGGTTTTTCCAAGACTCCGAGACCTCACAAGTCCAAGGAAGGGCCAGGAAAGAAGACCTGGGGTCTGGCGTTACTGTCTTCAGTGCCCCAAAAGGGTACACATGAGGTGCATGAAAAGATAGCCTCACGTGGACCAAGGTGCCAGTTTCTGGAAAGCAGAACCCAGAAACTGACATATGTCATCGGTTCTATGACATCGGCCCCTGGAGCTCCTACCTTTAGTTTCAAAGCCCTTCCACAAGCGGTATCTACTTAATCTGCTTTTTCCCAGCTGCCTGCCCCCTTCACCATACCTCCTCTTCTTCCTGCAGAGCCTGAGAGCCTAAAATGGTCTGCACAATGCACTTGAAAACCCCTTGCCCCCTCCTACTAAAACTCCTCATTGCCCTCACAACCTCAAGCTTGGCACATAAGCACTTTTCTCTTGTGTTTGAGGCAGATCTGACAGTTTTCTAGTAAGTTTGTGCACCAGAGAGGATGCTTTGCATTAGGGGATTGGCTGGGATGAGTCCTGTCTTGGTCCATTCAGGTTGCTATGACAAAATACTCCAGGCTGGGTGGTATGTATTTGTCAATGTTCTGGAGCCTGGAAGTCTAAAATCAAGGCCAGGTGAGGGTTCTCTTCCAAGTTGCAGACTGCTCCTTGCATCTTCACATGGTGGAAGGAACTAGGGATCTCTGTGGGGTCTCTTTTATAAGTCACTAATACCATTCACAAGGGCTCCCCCGCTGTGATTTATGCACAGCTCAACTGCCCCACATCTTAATACCATCATCTTTGGGGGTTGGGAATTATACATTTGAATTTGGGGGGTGGGAACAAACACTCAGACATAACAATTCCCTTTCAATGGCATTTGGTCCTAGTCTGAGGCCCAGAGAGCCAGTGCGGCATCACCAGTACAGAGCCTCAGCTGAAGATGTAAGCAATAAATGGTTTTGTTGTCGTTTTGACCAATTCCTTAAGCCCTCTGCTCAGAGGCCCACCCCTCAGTAAAGCATGCAGCAGGAGACTCTGAGGCAGCCCAAGGCTACCACGTGAGAGGACAAGCAAGGAGAACCAGGGCACAGCAGCTGTTGGCTCAAGACAGGAGGATGTGCGTGCACTGTCGTCATGTAAACTTCCACATTCCACCACTTCCTCTGCAGATACCATCAGTGGTCAGGCCATGTGCTTGCTGGGGAGCCGAGAGATCACTCTGAGCCTGCCCCTGCAATTCAAATGACCTGCCTTTACAAGAATCTCACAAGAGCCTTCATCCTGCCTGAGAAGACTGGGTGGAGGGAAGTTCAAGGATGGAACTCCAGCTGCCTCTCACTCCAGAGGCCCAGGCTGGCATTCAGCCAGCCTCAGAGAGAGCTGCTGAGTGACTTCAGACAAGGAATGCACAGAGAATACCAACGCAGTGTGCAGTGTCAACATCTCTTTTCTCCGATACTTGAAAACTATCTTAGGATCACAGAATAACAGCATGGAAGACACCCTTGAGCTTATCCAATCTAACCTACTCATTTCATGGCTTGGGACACAGAGGCCCGGAGACCAAAGCTGAATGGCCAGTGCTCACACAGCGATCAGGAAGGGAATCAAGTTTGGATGATTTTTGAGGGCCCCTTGAATCCACTATTTAGTGATTCTTGGGATTCTTGGCCTTTGTCCAAGTGTTTTTTCCCCAGGTCATGCGCGGAAACTCACTGAACATCAGCTGCTGAGCACTTCGAAGATGTAGAGCTGGGCTCACCCCGTGGTCACAGCCAAGGCCCATCTTACATGATGACATTTTCACCTACTTTATATTACCAATTTACGTTACTGATCACTGGTTTTTAGTCTTGCCTGCACAATGGGATCACCTTCAGGAGCCCTTAAAAACAATTCTGATGCTCAGATCCCACCTCATATCAATTGAGTAAGAATCTTGGAGGGGGCAATTGGAGCCTAAGAATTTATTTGCTTAGAAAAACTTTCACCGTTAATTTTACTATGCAGGTAGTCTTATTAAACACGGTTTTAAAACTGCTAAGTTTGGCTCAAGTTGTGACTAACGATAATATTAAGATCTACCTGCTCCCCTCTCACATGTTCAATCAACACAGAGAAATGCCTGTCCACCCTACTTGCTGGCTTATCATGTATTCACTTGTTTAGGATAAGAGATGCCTGAGAGGTACAAAATGGATGTATGTTACATACCCATTTTGCAAATGGGGAAAACTGAGCCTGACAACCGACGTTACCTAAACGTCTCAGTATAACAGTAACTTAGTCATGAATAAATCCATGGAATTTGGGAGCCACTGGAGTGGCTCACAGAAATCAGGAAATCCCTTTGCTCACTAAGTGACCATTTATTATAAAAGAATGTGACTCAGGAAAGCCGGGGGAAGAGATGTGCAGAGCTGTACAAGAAATGGGGAATGGGGTTTGGGGCTTCTGTGCTCTCCCGCAGCTCCATGTATTCACCAGCCTGGAACTCTCTGAGTCCCAACTTTTGGGGGTTTTATGGAGCCTTCATTCCATAGGCATGATTGATTACATCACTGGCCATTGGTTATTGATTTCAATCTCCAGCCCCTCTCCCCTCTCCAGTAAACAAGGTCAAGGCTATGGACCACTGAATTGGCCCATGGGATTTCTATCTATCTTCTTTTCCTGGCATTCTTGTTTAAATTGTAATCTTTATTTTTCATCTGGTGTATAGTTTTATTCATATAATTCAAATGCATGTGTGGGATTAAAAGTCATAACTGTTTTAATAGTAGTAATTGCTAACGTTTATTGGGTGCTGAATATTGCCTGCCAGACTGGTCCAAGAGCTTTATTTGTGTTGACTGAGTTAATCCTGACAAATCCTGGAGCTTGAGAGCAGCACCCCTGTTTTATAGCAAAGCGACTTGCTCTGCATTTGCTCCTGCCTTTGACTCTGACTCTGCAAACTGTTTCACATCCAGAGAAAAACTTTCTCCTGACAGCTCCTGGGGGTGGAGATGGACTTGGGGCACACTGGGGCAATGCTAACACTTGGTGCAGTCTTCAGTGATTGGGTGAATTGCTCATCTGACAAACTGGCTTTTGGCAATCAGTCTGCTTCCACGTATTAACAGCCAAGCGTGGCCAACTGGAATCAGATTTACTGAAAACCATAGTGAATCGAGAAGGGAGGCAAGAGCATAAGTGAAGTTTGCACCTGGCAGGCAAAGAGTGACACAGAAAGTACAATGCAAGGCTGAGGCCTCTGCCTGGACCACAGATCAAAGCCGAGGCTGGGTGGGGTGGTGCAGTGGTTAGAACCACTGTAGAGTCAAGGGAACCCATGAGAAGGCAGGGAGAGCTCACCATTTGGGGCTGTGAAGGAGCGGACTGGGGGTGGTGAGAGCCCCCTGCCTCTGCACTGCCTCTGTCCAGCTGAGGGGGCGAGCGCAGATCCAAGTCCCCAGCCTGCCCTCCAAGCCTTGCACCCTGACACCTCCCCCAGGGGAAGGGGCCTTTTCTTCCACACAGAGACAAAGTGCCTGCCGTGCTGCGCCAGCCCCAGTGAGCACGGTTTTCAGTCACACCAAGGAGCCCCGCAGGCTGCGGGAGGGGGAGGCAGAAATGGCAGCAGAGCACTGTGAGAGTAGGAACGCTCAGGCAAGCCACCCTTCTAGCACGGACCTTGGGAAAAACTCAGAGACAGAGGGGATAAGAGGAGTCTTAGATCACAGGAGATTTCCCAAGAAGTCCATCTTAAAGTAGGTCTTTTTTAGTAAGTGAAGCTATTACTATTATTATTAACTATCATTATTACTTATGGCAGATGAGAAGCTCGTTTTGTTGGTAAGGAAGTTCACTATCAAAAGTTTAATGATGGAGAAGACTGGCTGGCTGCAAATTTAGAAGCACAGACTCCCCATTCTAAAACTACCTCCTTTCTCTGGTCTAAGTGGCCGGTGGCCCTGGTTAAGTTCAAACTGGGGTATTACCTTGGGGCAGGTGTAGCAAGTGTGTAATTATTTAGTCTTCTTCCAGGCACCTGATACATCTAATACCTTCATCAGGAGACTGTGCCTCATAAACCTTTTTCTACAGACAGAATGAGCTCAAATGCCTTCTCTCAGTGTCATGGGCATGTACAGAATGGTCAGGCCAGAGCCCCTTTTGCAGTGCCTGCCCCTTCCCCACTTTGTGCGTGCCCAGGTCCCCGTGGTCCTCCAGGTGCTGCTGTGTCAGCTGGATGCGTTCCTCTGCCCAGTGTGGCTGTCTTTCCTTGGGGCCCAGGGCAGCAGCCGGGACAATGCTGCCTCAGGAACCTGCTCTCAGCTGCTTGAAGGGTGTCTCCTTGGTTCACAGTGTCAGGCCATTCACTTCACGGGCACTGGAGGCGCCCCTCATAGTCACCTGTGGGCCATCACTTTCCTTATCTGTAAACTGGGGTAACAGTGAGAAGTACCCCCCCCCCACTGCACAAGGATGATTCGTGGAGCCACACAAATGGGAGCTATTAGCCTGAGGATTAGGGCGTCCTGCACTTCCAGACCCCTGCGACGAAGAATTCTCCTTAAAACAGGCTCTGTGACCCAATACCCTGTTGGCACACTGGCTTTCACAGTGAGGCCTACCGCCAGGCACCTCAGGGCTTCCCCTTCCTGCTGGGGAACAAACAGTCCAACCCCGGACAGATGCCGGAAACCAAGGGTTGTATCGAACCCCATAAGTACTATGTATTCTTCCCTATATAAGTACCTATGATATAGTTTAATTTATAAATTAGGCATAGTGTGAGATTAACAACACTTAACAAAAAGTAGAATAATTATAATAGTACAGTATAAGTCATGTCAGTGTGGTCTCTCTCTTTCTCAGAACACCTCGCTGTACTGTGCTGAGCCTTGCTGAGCCTTGCTGTGCTGATGTGAGATGATAAGATGCCTATCGCCGCATGTCATCTGTGTAATGGGATGAAGTGAGGTGAGTGACGTGGGCTTTGTGATGCAGCGTTAGGCCACCATCCACCTTCTGACGTACATCAGAGGAGGACCATCTGCTTTGGATGACCCTGGATTACAGAGCCGCAACAGCGTCCATGGTTGGATGTCAGGAGCACATGGTGTCGATGGTTGGGAAAATTTAAGACTACGGTTGACCCGGGGCAACCAAAACCATGAACTGTGAGACTGTGGATAAGGGGCAATTGCTATTCTCTCCCAGAAGAGATTCTTCCCAGTTCCCCTGAGTGCATGGCCTGGAGGCTGAGGATCCTCGCCCCCCGATGTAGCCTGAGAAAATGGGCTGTTATTGTACATAAAGTCAGTGAGGGGAGGTTTAAGTCCTTGACCCAATGTGTAAGAGGTGCTTACAGAGGGACCCGGCTCCTCCGATTTGTCCTCCGGGAACCACGTTCCCAGCAGAGTGAGCGGAGTGGAGGAAATGCCTGGAGGAGATGAGAAGCCAGACCGGAGCCTCGGGCTGGAAGCCTCATGTGCTAGGACAGAGAGAGGAAGTGACCCTAGTGTACCTGACCTTCCACACCCCTTAGAAGGCAATCCTGCTACTTAAAAAAACAACAACAACAAAAAAACATTTTCCCCCAAACATTCTTTAATAGCCACTTGACAGCCATTGTTTCAGAACAGCTCAAGGTGGTGATATTTAATACCATTTTCCATTTCCCTGAAGACTCCAGAGTGAGAATTACCTGAATTTGAGTCCCAGTCCTACTCTATTAAATAACATTATTTTGAATTCTGTATCACCACTAAAATAATCAGAACTCCCCCCTCCCCCACTCCAGCTTTATTGTGTTAGTTTTCCAGGGCCGCTGGAAACAATAGAAATTTATTTTCTCACAGTTCTGGAGGCTGGAAGTCTAAGATGAGGCGCCAGCAGGAGTAGTTTCTGAGGCCCACCTGCTTGACCACCTCCTCTCTGTGTCCTCGGGTGGTCTTTCCTCTGTGCTCCTCCAGGGCCTAATCTCCCATTCTTATAAGGACACCAGTCTGCTGGGATTGGAGCCCATCCTCGTGCCTCACTTTACCTTCACCACCATAAGGGCCCTGTCTCCAGACACAGTCCCATTCTGAGGTGCTGGCGGTTAGGGCTTCAACATAGAAATTTTGGAGGCTACGTAATTCAGCCCCTAACACTTGCTGGCCGTTGTAGTTCTGAGATCTCTAATGAAGTGGTATCCCATCTTTCAGAAATTCTTCTGCCCACCAGAAAAAAATTTAATATCTTCATAACTAGAAACCATAGGTAATTATTTCATTTTATTTAAAATTTCCTATCAAAGGAGATGAATACCATCAGGAGTCTAAAATTTTGCTGACTCATAGAGGTGTAAAAAGGGCAGTAGATGGGAGGGATAAGAAAACCTGGCTTTTATGTGTAATATGCAGCATTTTAGTTACATTTTTTAAAACTATCATTGAATATATTTTATTAGTTAGATGTGATGAAACAGCATTTAACTTGACCCAAGAACCCTGAACACCCAAACCTACACTCACCCAGCTATGATGGTGGTGGATTTGTGGGAAAATGCTGGACAGTTGCACATTCTTTATTACTATAAATATTTTGCTCCAAAGTACATTTTAATCCTTCAGTGACCTGCACTGGACCTCATGATAGTACAGGGGCCCTTTGCACATGGGCTGATGTAAACTTGAGCCCTTTATGCTGGGCACCCCCAGTCTCACCACACTGACACTGAGAAAAGGCAGACGGGGAGAGGCATCATCAAGGAAAGGAGCGGGGAGAGTATTTTTCCTAATCACCAAGTAGAGCTTTCCTAAGCCACTCATTCCAGACTCTGTAGCAACCCTACCTATCTCCCAGCTGGTAGAAGGCAGAGATAACCTGATTGCATGTGTGTATGTAAAATTCACATCTCTCGATTCTGAACAGCCCTCAGGAAGAGAAAGAAGTAATGGGTGGGGGGAGGTGGTGGTAGGAATGAGGTGACTTTACACTCCCTCCTAGTAACTGAGGCTTTGGAGGTCAACAGTGACAGGACATTGATAAAGACCTGGAGGTATCATCATTCCCTGTCAGTCTGTAGAGAACGGCCAGTGTTTGTAGAAATGTCCCCATAAAGGGGAAGCTGTTGTTTTTGAATGCTTCCTGTAGACCATAGTCCTGGCTGTTAAACCCAATGAGAATAGAGAAGAAACAAATGGAAAGATGAGAAATGGTGGTGGTCCACTCTTGCCACTAGTGGGAGCTCTAGGTTCATGCCTTTCCATCAACCCCAGGATGGGCTAGAACACAGGGTGAGGGTATTTTGGGGGCAGGATTGGGGATGGGAAGGGCTGGAGAGGGGGCCTTGGACTAGGGCAGTGATTTTCAAATGATGAGCTACAAGAATTTTTAAAACATGCAGTACCTGACTATTTAGTCAAGGGCACTGACCTCTTTCCCCTTAGATTGTCAAATAAAAAAACAACAGCCAACACAATGATAGCACTCTGGTGCAAATGCTCTGTCTTGAACCATAAACATACAGGTCATATAACAGAGTTGCATCTCATTGGTCATGTTACATAATAAGTTTGCATCTGCTTGGTTAATTCTTGTCACCAGAAATCCTTATATACAAGTATAGGTACCTGATTTTTTTAAGCTACTTTGGAGCAAAAAGGGTGGGTGATTACTATTATTATTTTTTTGTAAATCAATTAAAATTATACCTATTTTTGGTGTGCCATAGAATTTTAGTAATTAGTTGCTGTGTGCTATGAGATAAAAAGTGTTGAAAATGGTGGGACTAGGGAATGAGAGGCTGAGGTCAAAATTCTCCAGCACAATGTCATCTTCTGCAAGTCTCAGTAATCTACACAGCAAGGGGCAAGAGAGGCCTGGGGCCTTGCCCCACCTCTTCAACTCTTTACACATTGTGAGTTTCTAGAAAATGGGATCTACAAATGAGGGTGAAGGCCCAGAGTACAGAGGCCCAGGAGACTGGATAGCCAGCTTCCAGGCTATACACGTCAGCTTGCCGGGGACCTGGACAAAAGGAACCCATTCTGAAAGCCCCAGACACGCACTCTGACCCAGCTGCTAGAATTTGTAGCAAAAGCCTTATTGAAGTAGCACGGTCTTCCTTTGAGAGCTCCCCTGAGTATCGTCACTGAGAACCAGGGGGTAAGAAGATGATACTGAGTTAGGTATGGGCGTGTTTGACCCCATCCAAATACATCTCATTGCAACTAACATTGTTAGTTTTAATTCCTCAGTTTTGGATATACTGGTTTTCTTCCCTGTCCAAGGCACTGTTTTAGGAAAGATGGTGCTGAGTACAATGGATGGTTTGTGGCTGCCGAAGGAAATACCTGCTGAGACCGAATGTGGACAGAGTGCTCCCTCTGGCCTGAGAATGGGGTCCCTATGCCAACATGCTGGTTGTACTTCATTGCAGTTATCATAGTTTGTAATAGCGCAGGTTTTGGGAAGATGATTTGATTAATGTTGGTCTCACCCACTAACCTGTAAGACTCTCGGGGCACAGACTGTATTTGTCCACCAGACCCCTTATGGAGCAGAGTTCCTGGCACACAGTATCGACTACTCTGGTGGTTCCCAAACTGTGCATAAGTGCGCCACTCTGTGAGCCATAGCAAACTCACAAGGGCACCACAATATCTTACATTTCCAAGAGAAACACAGCAATTCTCAACATCTATGGGATCCAGAGCAGACAACCAGCTTCAGGGAGTTCACAGCTTCAATACTTGATCAACTGCATTCCTTTCAGTGACATCAAATCTATCGGGCTGGGCTTTAGGTTGTCAGTATCATAAGCTGTGCTGTGCAAAAATCAACGTGGAGCAGGAAACGAGAGTGGCAGTGTCCAAGCCGATCCCAGGCTTTGGGAAATCTTGCAGCGCCCAACAAAAACATATATCCCGTTAGCAATTGAATTATTAATACTTTTAGTAAAGTGTATACTCTATTGTGTATGAAATTGGAAAGGGAGGCCGCTCTGACACTAACATTCTCCTTCTATGTTGTTTAAAACTGAAATAAAAATGAGTATTGTCTTTATTTTGATGTATATGTATTTTTTCCAAATAGCTACTAAACTGTTAAGACATAAATGCTTGTTGAATTGTTTAGACTTAACTATTTAGTAAACGGTGCCACTGGGTATTCCTTTCGGCCCGAGGCTACCACAGAACACTTACCGGCAAACTAAGAGCCCTGTGCACTGAGAAGGTTTGGGAAGCTCTGGATGAATTAAAATTTGTTGATTGAGGAACTCAGAATCGCAATTCTGTGCCTAATCACATTGCCTACAAAGTAATTCAAAATGAGCAAGAAACACCCTTGGAGAAAAAGCATCGCTGAGCTTCCGTTTTCCCTCACAGAGAATACAGTTCTGTCAGCGAGTGCTTTTTGGGCAACTTACTGTTTATTGAATACTTAACCACTAGCCAGGCCCTAAAAATTTATTTATTAATATTTTAATGGTCCCTCGCTTAATCCTTTCAGCAATCTTTTGAGGGGGACTGTTCACAGAAGAAAAACAGCCCAAAAGGATAGGTGGCGACGGCAGCATCCAAAAGCAGGGGCCTTCACACTGTCACCCACTCTCTTCAGAATCACTGTAATGATAAAGAGGGTGATACATTTTGAGAAGTTGTCATCATTTGTTATAATTTCAGCTAATTATACTTTGATTACTATTGCTCAAATTTAAGCTTTAACCATTGGCCAGATATTGTGCAAAACATTTACATGGATTATTCTATTTAATTTGATAATAAAGTCTTAATAAGTACACATGATTAGGATGACTCCAATTCACTAACTAAATACATAAGCAAACAAGTAAAGGAGGTTGGGCGGGATCACATCACTGGCCCAGCGTCTCACAGTTGTTGCTGGAAGAACTGGGTTTCGTATTCAGACTGTGCTCCATGCTGACAATGCTGGCAAAATACAAGGAGCTGTTGGGGGAAACCTGGTTACTACACAGAAAAGTTACTGACAGGCAAGTAATAGTTACTGATGTCAAAAGCAAGGAGTAGAGAAGCAGGCTCGTTAAATTTTATTGTGTTTTTGTGTAGCTCTGTGTGCTGTGGTCGTGAGACAGCTGGGAGTTTCAAGAAATATGGTGGTAGAGGAAGCTTCTCTCTGAGTCAGTGGCTCTTTTTAGAGGAGTTGTGCATCCATCTGGGAGCACATGGGCCTCTCAGAGACAGGGACTGCATCTAATTAGAGACTTAATTGCTTTGGGGGAGTGACTCGTGTTGGAGTGATGGAGTGAGGGCATCCTCAGGGTCCTTCCTCATCCCACCTCTTTTACAATCACTTGTGTAGTACGCTCAATGACAGGCATGCCAAGAAAAACAATGTAAAAAAGAAAAGATTTTTTCTTCTCTATTTCATGGTGACAACCAATCATACCTTTGACTGGAGGAATTATTGAGGAAACAATATTTTCTGAATTCACTATTCCCACCTAAACAGGTGGGTTGGTGACATTCATTGATAGGGACTGGAATGCTGGGCTGGAGCTTATGTCACCAGTGTCCCAACACTGGCTATAGGGCAGGTTCCTCATGTCCAGCCCCTGCTCTGTTAAAACATAGGACGGAATGCTCGGGCATTCCTCAGTACCTCGAGGGTATGTCCAATAGTTTCAAAAGAAGGGGTTTTAAAGAGAGCATGCTTTGGCTCAGAGATGGAGAATCAGGACTTGCAGAGAAGTATGTAGTCCTTGTCACTGAGAGACACTATCCCACTGAAATAATTTTTTGCATGGTTTGTACCTAAACGTTTTGTGTGTGTGTTTCACATACAAAAAAATACTGATAATTAGCTTTTGCAAAGACAGGCAATAAGGCAGCCCTGGGTTGAATTTTAGGAATTTTTGACTACCATGTGCCAGGTGTGTTATTATTTTTTTCTACCTAATATTTTGGAGCACCCAGTGAATGCCAGTCTCTGTGAGGGAAGCAAGAAAGCAAGGTCCTGGTTCTTATACAGGGTCCTTCTAGAGGGAGAGAGAGACAGATACAAGAAAGCGGCTTAAATAAAAGAACTGCAGGTTGTGATTAATGGGACCCTAGATAGAGAGCCCGGTAATTGACTACGAATGGGAGTCATTTTGTGGTGATGTGGTTGGGCCATATTCCAGCATCCCCTCCCTTGCCAGTCTCGGCCTTTTGGTTTGTCTCACACTGGTAACCTCAGGTTTCCAAAATGGCCACTCAACTCCAGGCCACTTAAACACATGCAAAGTCAAGGAGCAGAAGACAAATGCCTTCCTCTTTTTGAGTAGTACCTTTCCTTTTGTCTGGATGAAGAATCATCCCCAGAAGACATCCCGAACTTCCCATTACTCAGAATAGCCACATGATGACCTGTTGCTATAAAGGCAGCTGGGGAAGTGCTCGTCTGGCAAAACATGTCAGGACACCTTGGTTTGCTCATAACAAAGGTGAGCCATGCCATGAGTATGAACAAAATTGGGGTTCTCTTAGCAAAGAAGCAGTAGTAAGCAAGGGATCTGTCTTCATCTGCTACTTCACGATGTTGCCCTGAGAATTAAATAAGGTAATACTCTTGGAACACTGCCTGGCACTTAATAAGAGCTTAGTAAATGTTAGCTGTTATTTTTTATTTTGCTCTTACTTACTTTTGATCCCGTCTCATCACCCCTGGATAATCAGTCTTGTGGCCTCTAGGAGAGGATGGGGAATCCACGTCCATCTCCTGGCTCTACGGGTGTCCCCCAAGAGCCCCAGAGGAGTAGTAAAGAAAGCAAAAGTCATATAAATCCAGGCTAAGAGCTTTGCCTTGTGGATGAGCTTAAAGGACAGGAGACAAAGTAACATGAGGATATAAGCCAGAAAGTGGATGGACTGATGGACAGTGGATCCATGACACATCGATAGGAGGATGAAACTTGGAGAAGCTAATAAATAAGGATGAAATGGGGGTGTGGAGGGCAAGGAATCTGAGGTCTTTTCAAGTCCAAGAACAGGTACAGTCCATGATAATGCAGAACAGAGAGCCAGAAGAGTGGACGCGTGATTGAGTATCTACAGGGGGCAGACCATGCAGCATCCCTTACAAAATGAGGACTTCCTCTAAAAAATGAGGACCCAATAAACTTTTCCTGTCTTCCTGTGACATGCATCACAGTTTTACCTTGTTTGGCATGTGTTTCTATAAAATTATTTACAAGTTTCCATTTTTCTATCAAGATTTATAAATTCCGATGTAGTTTTATTGTATTTTCACTGATGTGTTCCATGTCCCATTGCATCACCATTAGCACAAAGACTGATGGTGCTGCAACAGCTGCCCCCTCCTGGTCATGGTTAGGGATGAGTCTGTAACTGGGGCTGGGTCAAGTCCAGGGCCTTGACCTGTGTGTCTCCTACTGAGGCCACCACAACCTCTGTGATGCTGACCCGAAGGCTACAGGCAAAGCAGTCACTTAAGGAAAAAGAGGATGCATCCAATAGAGTCTCTACCCTGGGACCCTGAGTAGAGAGACAGGTACCTGACTGTGAATGGAAGTCATATGGTGGTGCTGTGTTAGGCCATTGTCCAGTTTCTCGCTATCGGTCTTCAATCTTGACCTGTCTCATTTCTAACTGCTGGACACATCCGCTGTAGCACTGAGCACCTCACACTCAATATTTTCTAACCAGACCTATTTTTTCTTTCAGATATCCTCCTCTCTTTCATCATTCTTAGTGTCACCACTCAACCAGGCATCCAAGCTCCAAAACACTGAATCATCTGGAATTCTCAACATCCTGCTTTCTGTTCTCATCATATCTAAACATAAGATCATTCTTGTTTCTGAAAATACCTCTTGAATTCACCATCTTCCCTTATGAAGCAGGTCTTTTATCTGCTTCCTTACTTGACTCCCTACCTCTCGTAGCTCTCAACTAGGAAATTGAGAAACCTTGGGAACCAGTGACCCTCGTGGGAAGAGATGGACAAGTATCTTCGGTCACTGTGAGTGGCCATGGGATCTGAAGGGTCAGTGACCTGCAGCTGTTTCAACTTCTTAAAGCAGAACAGCAGGAGACACTGTCTAGTCTCTGATAGAAGCTGCTGAAATTCCAGCAGGCATTGTTTCAGAATTGGAGCAGAGTAAGCTAGGCACCTCCAATCCTTACTATTGAGTCCCTACCATGTGTCAGGTTCTGGTCAAGGTGTTAAAGATCTCAGGCAATGAGGAAGATCAGCATAAGTCATGCTTCATGAGGGAAGCTTACAGTCTATCTGGGAAGACAAACATTAATTAAATGTGTTGAATGTTAGAAAGAAGAAGGGCAGGTCCCACTGGAGCACAACTGGAGGGTTCAGCATAGTCTAAGGGGCTTGGGATATCCTTCCCTGTGAATGTGGTAAGGAATCATGCAGGTAGGTGGCAAGGGGAGAAATTGTGTCCTGGAGAGATGACCAAATGAGACAATTTCCTTATTCGCTGATTTTTAAAATACATTAGATAATATATGGAGAGATTTTTAAATGAGGCACATGGCCACAATATAGCTGCCTCTTTGAGATACCTTCAGTATAGTTGTATCAAACATTTCCACTGACATCCCTCAGGCCATTGCAAGTTAAAATTTTTTATGAAATATATTTTATTTTTAACATCTATTTATTCATTCACCCAACAAATATATATTGACTACCTACTGTGCCAGACACTTTTCTGAGATCCGGGGAACATAGGACACGTGATATAAACAGCAGTACATGTGATATGAAAATTGTTTTAAGTATTGGCCTCAGGGTAAAACTGAAGCTCTCAGAAGGTGTCTTGAATCCTGTCACTCTTGTGTACCTTGTGCACATAGCTACACAACTTCAGGGTAGCACATGGACCTCAATTTCAATGACCCTGGAATAAGTAGAAAGTTATTCTTGCTATGAAAGAAGTTTCTGATCTAGGAAGTTCATTTTAGCCTCTCTGGCTTCAGCTTCCTTGTCAAAAATAAGAGGATTGAATGGGATGAATTTGAAGCCATTGCCAGTTGTACAAATATGTAAATTTATATACTTACAGAGTTGGAAAAGACCTTAAAATCATCTTGCCAATTCCCCATCAAGTACTTAAATTGGTCGTTGGTAGAAGCTTCAGGAAAGAGTAGCTAAGTTTCTAGGCCATTTAAGAACACAAATAAGAAAAACAGATGTAGAAGGTCCTACTTGAGAGTGTTTAATTCAGAGACACACAAACATACAGAAGCTTTACCAGAAGGTTACTTTCCCCTCATCTCGGCAACGATGATGGAATATACACACCCGCCAGAATTCTCCTCTCAGAATTCCATGAGTCACATGGAAGCCAAGTTGCAAATAGGTGTACAATTAACCCTAGCAGCAGGTAACTTTGCTTTCTTATCACACCACAACCCTCATTTCTCTGGTGATGTGAAAGTGAACATTCTCTGGAACCTAAAGAGGTTCTGCAAAGATCAGAATGCATAAATCTATTATCAGTCTCTTTCTTTTTGGAGGAGGAGGAGAAGAAAGAGGTACAAACTTTGTGTGAACTGCCAAATACAGAAGGGAAAACACTGCTCCAAGACTCACCTGCAAACCTTTTCAGATGCTTACTATGGAAAAGTTCCTCCAATAGTCATCTCTTTTTCAAAATCTGGAATTTTCTTCTCAGCATTCATGAAATTTCAGCTTGTATCTGTGGGATTATCATTGCCAATGGAAAAGTTTCAGATCAGCCTCATTTATTTTTATTTTTTAAATTATATTTTATTAATTGTGCTATTACAGTTGTCCTGATTTGTCCCCTGTTGCCCCCTCTACCCAACACCCCACACTTCCTCAGACAGTTCCCCCACCATTGTTCAGTTCTTTGGCTACCCCATTTTACTGATTGTTAACCTCTGTCTATTTTCTACCTACCATTTATGCTACTTATTCTGTGTGCCTTTGCCTCCATTCTCCCTGCTCCCCCTTCCCACTGACAACCCTCCATGTGATCCCCATTTCTGTGATTCTGTTTCTGTTCTAGTTGTTTGCTTAGGTATTTTTTTGTTTTGTTTTTTAAGTTCAGTTGTTGATAGTTGTGAGTTTGTGGTCATTTTACTGTTGAGTTTTGATCTTTTTTCTTAGATAAGTCCCTTTAACATTTCATATAATAAGGGCTTGGTGATGATGAACTCATTTAACTTGACCTTATCTGGGAAGCACTTTATCTGCCCTTTATCTGCACTTTATCATACTAAATGGTAGCTTTGCTGGATAGAGTCATCTTGGATATAGGTCTCTGCCTCTCTTGACTCCCAACAATCATTTCAAGCTCCTTCTTGCTTGCAAGGTTTCTTTTGAGAAAACAGCTGATAGTTTTATTGGAACTCCTTTGTAGGTAACTCTCCTTATCTTTTGTTGCTTTTAAGATTCTCTCCTTATCTTTAATCTTGGATAATGTAATTACGATGTGTCTTGGTGTGTGCTTTCTTGGATCTAACTTCTTTGGGACTCTGATCTTCCTGAACTTCCTGGAAGTCTATTTCCTTTGCCAGATTAGAGACGTTCTCCTTCATTATTTGTTGAAATAAGTTTTAAATTCCCTGATCTTCTTCTCCTTCTGGCACCCCTATGATTTGGATGTTGGAATGTTTAAAGTTGTCCTGAAGGTTCCTAAGCTTCTCCTCATTTTTTTGAATGCTTGTTTCTCTATTCTTTTCTGGTTGAATGTTTATCTCTTCTTTCTGCTCCAACTTGTTGATTTTGAGTCCTGGTTTCCTTCCTGTCACTGTTGGTTTCCTGTACATTTTTCTATATTTCACTTTTCATAGACTTTACTTTTTCCTCTCTTTTGTGACAATATTCAACCATTTCTGTGAGCATCCTGATTACCAGTGGTTTGAACTCTGCATCTGATAGGTTGGTTATCTCTTCATCACTTAGTTGTATTTTTTTTGGAGCGTTGATCTGTTCTTTCATTTGGGCCATTTTTCCCCCTCAGGTTGCCTATTACATAGTAAGGGGTGGAGCCTTAGGTATTTGCCAGGGCAGAGCAACCCACATTGCTGTGTTATGGAACTGTAGGTGGGGTAAAAAAGTCCAAGAGGAAATAATGCTGCTTGCTCAGCTCACTTACACTGGCTTTCAGTCACTTCCCCCTCTACCCACAAACAAATTGAGACCTTCTGGTGCGGATTCCCAGGTGGGTAGTTTTGTGTACATTCTAGGACCCTGTGGGTGTCTCCAAGGACACCCTCTCTTGTGAGGCTGGGAGTTTCTCCTGCTGCTTCAACCCCCACAGATTTTTTTAGTCACAGGTTTTGAGGCTTTATTTTCTCACACTGGAACCCTGGGTTGTGTGGTCTGTCTCACTCCCCAGTTGTTCCTCCCAGTTTATCTGCATGCAAATGTGGGACCACCCACTCTGCCAGGTGGGGCATCTGCCAGCCACTGCCTTGCCCATCCTGGTCCTCCAGCTGCTGCCTTGCCACGAGTCCTCTCCACCCAGCTGCCCATCTCTGCCCCTCCTACCAGTCTGGATGAATGTTTCTTCTTTAAGTCCTTGGTTGTCAGACTTCCATACAGTTTGATTTTTCTGTCAGCTCTGGTTGTTTTTTGTTTTTAAATTTGTTATTGTTCTTCCTTTGGTTGTGTGAGGAGGTACAGTGTATCTACCTAGGCCTTCATCTTGGCCAGAAGTTCTATGTTAAATTATCTTAATAGAAGTGGCTTCAAAATGAAAAGAAAGCCTAAAGTGCATTTTATCCACTAGGACTGGAAGAAGGTACTATTACCCTCCAAAAGGTTCCATTGAGGGTCTGGTGTGTCACAGGGTGGGGTATGGCACTACTCATATTTAGTGGAAGAACCAGGAATGTTAAGTATCTTGTAGCATGAGGGACGGTCCCTCACCACAGCTTTTTCTGCCTTGAATGACAGTGGTGCCCGCTGATAAACACTGACTTGTGTTCCAAAGTTCCATTTTATAGTTGAGAAACTGAGCTGTAGAAAAGTAAGGAAACTTTCTTAAGTTCACTGACCTAGTTAGTTGCATAGTCTGAGGCAGAATCCAAATGTATATATTTCTAGTAAAGGGCTCTTTTTGCTACACCAGAGGATCCATAGAGGCCAGAGCCATTTTTATAATAATACTAAGGCAGTATTTACTTTTGTCACTCTCATTCTGTCAGAGAGTGTGCAACGGGGTTTTCCAGGGGCTACGTGATATGTGATGATGCTGTATAATGCAAGTTTTAGAAGACCCGTGAACAGATATTTTTAAAATAATAAGTGCATGATGTTATAGAACGACTCTTGGGTAAAAGATTCTTTAAAAGTACAAGAAGATAAATGGATTTTAGTGTAAGTACAAAAGAGTTTATTGATTTTATTTAAGATTTCCTTTTGCTTTAAAAAACTGTCATTCAGTGAGTTTTAGTGTAATATTAAAGAATAATATATACAATGATCTGAACAAACTATTAAAATATGTCTCCCTTTTTCAACACGAATTCAAAGGTCACATTTTCTCCTGCTGCTTCAACCAAACCAATATGTGGCAATGGATTGAATACAGAATCAGAGAGTCCAGTTGCTCTCTGTTAAGCCAGATGATTGAAGAAATTTGCAAAATTATCAAGTAATGCCAGTCTTCTTATGACATGAATTTTGTTTCAGGAAATATATTTATTATTTACAAGAATGTTATTTATATTAATGTACAATGAGTTTAACTTTTAAATAATGTAATATACATTTTATATATTTTTTAATTTAAGTTTCTAATATAATATAGTAAATGTAAACAGATATAACCCATATTACCACAAACGTTTTGGGGTCCTTCATAATTTTTAAGGACACCAAGTTATCCCGAGAATAAAACATTTGAGAACTGCTACCTGACATCATACTTTTTGGCTAAATCTGATTGTCTTGGGTAAGACCGTGGACTTTGTTTTAAAAATTATTCTTTAGATGATTCTGATGCACAAGCTAGCTTTAGAAACATTAGCATAGAGTGCCTCTTGTTAAAGAAAGTCTCATTCTAATGCCGAACTGTAGGAACAATGCCAGGATCCAGGGTAGGCCTTAACAGGGCTATTGGGGACTTTAAGAATGCTGCTGGCTCTTCATCACCAGGGAGCAGAGGCAGATTCCCCTGAACTGGGAGGTGAGGAAGTACTGTGCCCAACTCTTGATCCATCTTGACCAAAAGAAGCAGCTGGGAATGAAACAGAGGGAATGACCCTTAAGAAGAATGATTTTCCAATTCTGAACAATAGCCACAACTATGGGCATGGAGGGAAAAGCCCTAGTTTTAGGAGGAATGTGGTTCTCCCAGTGTTCCAACTAATCTCAAGGCTGGAAAAGGCAAAGAAGTAGCTTATGGGCCAAATTTAGCTCACAGACATGCATTATTTGTACTTTCCAGAATGTAGACACTTTCTGGAATCAGACGGAAAAATTCAAAAATTTTAAATTTCAGATTTTTAGTTTAACTTGAACATCGAAAGATCTGATACACATGGGCCTAAACTCTCCTATGGCAGCAACCATCTGGAACTGCACAGCGGCCTTTGCCAGCAGTCGGGGCCTGAGACCTCTCCTGGTCCCCAGCCACCAGGCCACCTTGCTTGTTTATGTTTGTCTGGCCTCTGGCGGGGGGGGGGTCGCCACCCTCTTCTAGACTACTCGCAGAGAATGGTGGGATCCTTTGATGGTCTAAGAAGACAGACGGGGACTAGGGCCGCACCAGTGGGTGAGATGGCCATAGGGACTCAGAGTGGCATGCCAGAGTCTGCAATCCAGCATCAGGACTCCAGGTTGGTCTAACTGGCCTGTGCACAAGGGCTAGAGGCCAACAGTTTGATCCTTCTCTTATTGATTTTTAATTATTGTGCTAGTAACAGCACTAATTTTAGCTTTAAGGGCTCAAAGTAGCTTTAGGTGATTTATTAACTGCATCTTATTGGTGAATTTCAGAGCTCAGCATAACAAGTATTCTCCATGTAGTGTCTTTTTTTGTTGTTGTTAAAGAAGTACGGAATGCTCCATGAGTTTGTGTGTCATCTTGTGCAAGGGGCAGGCTAATCTTCTCCATATTGTTCCAATTTTAGTATATGTGCTACGGAAGTATCTTTTGGATATCACTTGTGTGATCATAAAAAGATCAGTTACAATAAATTTCCTAATATCCTCCACATGAAAATCTCTTGCTGTGTTGCTGAATTTTTGTATTCAGTCTTTTCTTGTGAAGCCACTTAAGAAAAACCACTTCAAGTGTCAGCTGTGGATCCCAAAACTTCTAACAAAGATAAGCAGTTGTCATAGCAAAAACAACAAACCTGTAGGTGATGGATCATGGGACTTGGTTACTGTACTTGCCTTGTGAATCCACACTGCTTTCAGCCTTTGCTTAACTCCACAAGTAGCTTTTCAACACCATGACCTGGGTTGTCTCAAATGCACTTTGCTTCTGACTTTGCAGCTCTTCAAGCCAAGGCGTTCAATCATATTAGTTAGATCCATATGTACTAAGTAGAATTTCTCAGTAGTATTTTTTTTGTTACAAATTGGCTTTTGTTAAAATACATTCATTAATGCTTAGAAAATGGAAAGTATAGTCTAGTAGGATCTGGAATTGTTTATTTTCTGACCATTAAAACAAACAAGTTATTGAGGCAAATCTGATACTATAACTTTACTGATTTTCTCACTGACCAATTAGATAACTTTAGTTAGGTTACTTAATTTTTCTCTGACTTCTTTGTCCACAGAAAAATTCTAGATAGAGCTTTAAAATCTAATAAACAAAAAGAACTAAAAGAAGCTTATAGCTCTAGCTTAAACATATTGCTTGGCCATCTTGAGTTTTTGAAACCTATCAGGATTAGACTTAATTTAAGAAAAAATATTTTTCTGTAAAGGAAATATTTTCCATGCCTACAAATATTCTTGAACGCTTGATTTTGGTGACTGTTAATTCATTTTAACTGTATCCTCACTCACTTCGACTAGCTCTTACTGCTGGAATTAGGGGAGGAGGAAGAACGCTTGCTCTTCACTTCCAGTGTGAGAGTCGCTTCAAATTGTACCCCTCAGAGAGCTTGATATGTGCTTCCTATTTTTGCAGGGAGAGGTGTCAAAAATTCAAGTCTGACCTCCACCCAGGAAATCCAAGTTTAAGAAATGAGCTGGTGACTCAGTCTGGTGGACGGAGTGAAGAAGAAATGTTACTGCTGAGCAGGGATGGGCACACTCTCTCTGGGTTAGGCAAGGAAAGGAACACTTGTGTGTTTCTCATTGACCTGGTATGGGCTTTGCATGGAAGAGAGAACTGGCTTAGAGATTCCTTGGATACTTACTATTTATGGTAGTTTTAGATGATGTCTAAAAATTCATCAACACATCCCTTCTTCAGAAGCTGGAGTCTAATTCCTATCCTGTTGATTACGGGCTGGCATTAATGACTCACTCCTACCAAATAGAATGTGGCAGAAGTGATGTGGCATGTCTTTCAAGGCCAGATAATAAATGACAATACAGCTTTTGCCTCACTATTGCTCTTGGGACACACGCTCTGGCAACCTTTTGCCACCATATAAAAAATCCAGTTACCTTACATAGCCATGTGGAGACACAACACGGAGAGAAGAGGAAGGAGACAGAGACACAGAGTGAGAGAGAATGAGGGAGACTCAAGGAGCCAGTGGTCAGGTGTCACATGTGTGAATGAGAAAGGCTTCAAGATGACGAAGCCCCAGCCACCATTTTGCAACTGTTATTGCAAACCCTGTTTGGGTACAGTGTGTCACACTGAGGGGTAATGGGAAGACCATCCAAGAAGACTGCTTAAAGGCATGAAGGGCCATTACTACAAAAGAACCTGGGGCTGGACCCTGGATCCCTGGGCATTACAGGAGTGAGCAACTGGCTCTCAGGTCACAGGAATTACAGATTGAGAGGCAATTGCAAAATTGGAGGGTTTTGAAGCACTTAAAAAAAGTGAAGCTTTAAACTTTTTCCAGGCCCATTGAAAATTTGGCTTATGATGGCCCTAGCCAGGGAAAACTTTCCTAAACAGGGCTGACAAAACATTTTCATAATTTCGAGATGGAGAAGCCATTTCTAAGCATGACGCACAAAACCAGGAAGCCACTAAGGAAAAGACTGACAGATTTGACTAAATAAAAATGTAAAACTTTTAAACATCAACATGCATTATTTTTGAAAACTTAAAAAAGTTAAGGAACAAACAAGAATACTATTGATAGAATATAACAAAGCATATTATACATAATATAAAATTTCAACAAATCGGTTCAAAGAATATAAATAATATAAACAATAAGTTACCGACAGGAAAACTCTATTGATGAAATAAAGAATTAGAAAAGAAATGCATGAAAATATAGTCAAACTCACCAATCATTGCAGATACAAATTGAAAAAATTTTAAATTAAATGTATTGTACTTAGCATCTGCATTAGTTTCCTAGGGCTTCTGTAACAAAGTGCCCCAAACTGCATGCCTTGAAGAACAGAAACGTATTGTCTCACAGTTCTGGAGGCCGGAGCCTGAGATCAAGGTGTCAGCAGGGCTGGTTTCTTCTGAAGGCTGGGAGGAAGAACCTGTTCCTGGTCTCTCCCCTGGCTTCTGGTGGTTTGCTGGCAATCTTTGGAGTTCCTTGGTTTAAATATGCATCACCCTGATTTCTACCTTCATCTTCACATGGTGTTCTCACTGCGTTCATGTCTGTCTGTGTTCAAATTTGTCCCTTTTATAATGGTGTCAGTTTTATTGGGTTAGGGCCCACCCTAATGACCTCATTGTAACCTGATTTCCTCTTTTAAGACCTTATTTCCAAATAAGGTCACATTCTGAGGTACTGGGGGTTGGGACTTCAACACATCTTTTTTAGGGGACACAAGTCAACCATATCAGACTTCACTAAGAAAAGCAATAGTATTGAATATTGGAACCTGTATAAATCCAACACTTGTACCAGCTGATGAAGTATAAATAAGTAAACATTTTGAAGTGTAACTTGCTAATATCTAAGAATGATATATGCTAAATGTGCACATCTTTCATTCCATAGTTTCACTCTTATGAATATAACAAAATGTAAAATAGGCAAAGTCAACATGAACAAGAGAAGTTTTGAGGGTAAGATGTCCAGGGAAATGGGAGGATGATGTGTTAGGTATTGCTACTGTTTTAGTACTAGCAGGTATTGTGGCCAAGTGGATTTCAACTTCACCTCTCAGAGCGGTCCTTTAACAATGAACCCTGGTACATTTGATTTATGACCCTCTGAATAGATCATTTGGGAATGGAGGGGATAAATACTTCATTTTTCTCTGACTCTTTCCACTCATGCAACCTTCTGAGCAATATTTGACCAAGGTTGCCAGATTTAGCAAATAAAAACACAGGGCACCCAATTAAATTTGAATTTTAGATAAACAATGAACTTTTTTATTTCAGTATAAGTACATCTTATGCAATATTTGAGACCTACTTATACTAAACAAATTATTTGGCAAGCAGAATATAACCAGAGACAGTGAAATTAAGAACAAACTGACTGTAACCAGAGGGGAGGTAGGAAGGGATAACAGGAGTTGGGGGGGGGGTAGGGAGAAGGGTTTTCAGGAACATGTAGGAAGGACATATTGAGAAAGCCAAAGGGGGACAAGATAAAGGGGGGCAAGTGGGGATGGCTGGGGTCGGGGGAGTGGTAAGGAGAAAACGGAGACAACTGTACTTGAACAGCAATTTAAAAATTGTTGTAGAAAAAAAACAGTATTCATTGTTTGTCTTAAATTCAAATTTAACTGGACATCCTGTATTTTACCTGGCAACCTGATTGATACCTGACCCCAAGCTGCACAAAGCAGGGGGTCTTGGCCCTTTGCAAGGGAGGATGCTATGGTGTGATTTCAGTGTACATACCTCATTTAGGCATATTCTCTCTCAACTGTGTTTTGCAATAACTTTTTTTTAAAAGAGTAAAAACAACAACAAAGAACAAAACATGTGACAGTTGCAGCAAAAGATGTAACAGGAGCTGGTCTCGTGTAAATATTATGCTCATTAAAGCAGAAGGGTCTGGAGCATAAACAAAATAACTGCCAGGGGCTGGTTTTTGTTCTGGTCGGGCTTCTTAATATAGTAACTCCGTTCCCATCCTGTTAGCACTCTTTTCTTATCAAACATTGAACTGGGGTATAAGGAAGTTTAAATTACCCATGATTGGAGATCCGTTTTCTAAACACTTGAAACAGATGGTTTGTTGCCTGAAAAGCACGCTTCTTTTCAGGGAATGCAGCGTTGAGCTTGGTTATTTCAGGAAAATGTTTTGCTGGAGCTCGTGTGTTGACCTCAGGTGTGCTACGCTGCGCAACAGTTTCCTCTGATGCCCGTTTCGTCTGTTTCTTCGGTTGAGTTTGCCTGCTCTGCAAAGGCCTTATTTTTAATGCTGCCTGCTTGCTGCTCAGACACTGTGCTAGGCAAAAGCCCAGTTACTCCTCCCACACAACTTCTCCCAGCTTTGGAAAAAGAGTGATAATCACGCAGAAGAGTTTTAAAAGCGAATGTCACTTGACAGTATACAATTGATAGAGCTGGGCACCACCAGCTGAGCAGCGGTGAGCTTAACAAAAAGATAATGTCCTTTCTGCCCATTTTTGAGGGGATCTGGGATCCAAACTAGGATCAAAGGCTGCGTTAAGTGGTCATGTCTCCGTAGTCATTTTAAAGCTATGACAGTTCCTCAATCTTTCTTTGCCTTTCATCAACATTTTTAAAGAGCATAGTCTGGTTATTTTGCAGATTGTTCTTCAAATGGGTCTATTTGATATTTCCTTATGATTGGTGAAGTCACGCCATGCATTTTAGGTAGAAAGGGCAATAAGGGGTAGAACTGGGTTTTCTGACACCACTCCCAAATTGTGCAAGAATGTTGGCCAGTGTCTTATGAGCAAAAATTTTCTGCGGAAGCTGGATTTCCCAGTGCTGCTTCACGCCTTCCACTAAAGAGCCTCACTTTGAACTGAGTGGCCTAAATTTTTGATAAGATTCTTAGAACCACATTTAAGAGTAAAAATGGACTAGGATGTCCATGTGTTTCTGAGCTTTCTTCTCAGGACAAGATGAGCACTTCGGATCTGTGCTAATGGCCTAAGGAAGGTTAAGAGAGGGTAGGAACTGGTTCTTGTAAACTGACAGTTCAGGGGAGTGAGTCGGAGATAATCACATAATCCATTTATAACCACCCAAGTTAACAAGCTCTCACCTTCTCCAAATAGGCCCCCTCTTTACAAATAGTCACTTCTGCGCAAAAGTGGGCTCTCGGCCATATGCTTGGAGTCACATGCAGCCAGTCTCATGGAATTATTTTCCTGCAACACTACAAAGATCAACTCATATCAGGAGCAATATTAGAAACCATAACATATTATTATTATTTTTTAATTTTATTTATTTATATTTAGAGAGAGGGAAAGGGAGGGAGAAAGAGGAAACATCAGTCTGCGGTTGCCTCTTGCGCGCCCCCTACTGGGGCCCTGGCCTGCAGTCCAGGCATGTGCCCTGATTGGGAGGGAATCAAACCAGCTACCCTTTGGTTCATAGGCTGGCACTCAATCCACTGAGCCACACCAGCCAAGGCCCATAACTTATTATTAAATGTATAATCTCAACTTTGAAAATATTTTTTTCTCCCCCCAAATAACTTGCAGCTGTCTCTGCTTCATTCAATCCCTGACTGTATTAGTAGACAAGACACTCCTAGAATGAAGGTGGCTGGTTCTGAGCTGTCAAACTCTGGATCCAGGCACCACACTGCGAGAGACATCCATAAATGGAATTATTTACAGAAAAGAATGAATAGTTTGCTAAAGACTTCAACATTAAGACTAAGAATGGCTTTTTTTTTTTTTTTTGTCTAGCCCTGGCCTAAGCCCCAACGTGGGTTCTCAGCTTTCTTTCCTCCTTGGCTAGAATGCTTGTCTTGTCCCTATCAGTTGTCCTGATAGTGAGGGACAAGGGCTTTGCTCCCTGCTGACGACGCCCTTGCCAGATACAGCCTGTCAGCCAGGGCTTCAGAGGATTCCCCCTAAAAGAGGTGCAGGATGATTTCTGATGGAAGAGATTGTATCCCGCTGGGACTCTAGGTCCTTCAATACCCACATTCTGCCATAAGAATGAACTTCCTTCCAGAACAAGCAGCAGGGTCTGTCTGTCCACCAGGCCTATTACGTACTCGGGGTGGGGCGGGGGTGGGCAGGTCTACGCCCATGGCAGGCTTCCACATGTTTCCATCTGGCTGAGGGAGTTCACTGCATCTGGCCCGTGGTCAGACACACACTATCACAGGAAACAGGGGTCAGTGAATCCAGAAGGGCAGGAGAGCGATTTGCAAACTGTGGGGCCTTCATAAAGATAGATTAGGTAGAGCTATGAACTGGGAATTTATGAGGGACACCGGGAGAGACTTTAGTTCTGTATAAGAGAGAACTCTCCAACAACTTTTTGCTTACCTTTGTCTTTCCTGCAGTGACTTATGTACATAAAGAGCTGAACTATTTGCTAAACTGAGGACAATTGAGGAAGAGTCTTCTGAAAACATAATAGAGAAGGCAGCACGCTCCCTTCTCTTACATCTGGTGAAAAGATGAGAAGTGTTTTTGCTGGGCTGCTGAAGGGAGTGGAGCATGCCAGATAACGTTTAAAAGTCCCTTCTAAGCCTGAGATTCTATGAGGTTCAGTAATCAAATTTCAGTGAAATTTAACCTGGATATTTTCCCAAAAGTAATTGCTCTTTAGTCTGCCTCATTCTAAACTCAGAGAAGAAATATTTCTCAGTAATTGACAAAGAGAAGACTATATCATTTGCCACTTATATCTCTGGAATTCACGGGCTTTACAGACAGAAAGCCGTGTGAAGTGGGAGAGTCATGTAACAACAGAATCTCCCTGTCTGGTGAGGCCACTCAGAAGCTAAAACCTACTTATTGTTTCTTCAGACCACCTTCTACTAACACAGCAAGAAGTTTGATTCTATCTGGACATGCTGTGAAATGGAAATGGAAAAAAAATGAGGAAGGAAAGCAAAGCAGATTTCATCCAAGGAAAAACAAGTTTCAAATAATTATCAAAATAATTTTTCCATTTTATTTAACAAGGTAACTCTGCATGTACACATTTAATTTATGGACACAGTGTAAAATATTTCTTTCCATCTCCCTTTTAGTCTAGTAATTTCTCCATGCACTTGGACATTGACGACAAACAGGGTTTGAATATAAGAAGATGAATGTGCTACAGCTGATTTGGGGGTGACCGTGCTATCAGCTGATTTCCCGTATTTGTGGAAGTTGGTTAGTTGGGCACGAGCCTCTCTGTGTCCTCGCTGTGATCAGGTCAGACACTCACAAAACAGGTGTTTGTGTGCAACAGGCACATGCTGATGACAACAAACAGTCATTCCCTGATGAAGTTAGAATTTTATGGATACATTTCCATACCCAGAAACACCCTTGTATATGGTTGTTGTACAGCCTTAGGTACTTTCCTTCCCTCTAATGTGTGAAATCAAATGTGCTTGTTGGGGGCAAAAAAATGCAGAGTCACAGTAGTGTTCCTTTTTCACCAGATGGCAAAGGGCCACATGTAACCCATGGTGATTCTTTGAAAAGATCAACAATTCTTAAATAGGGCAATGGCCTTCTGGGCTACAGACAAATTATACATTGTTTTGCTACAACACTGCTGAGCCTTATGGGGTGTTGATGAGTTCAGTAAGAAGTAATATGTAAAATTCCTTTCTACAAAAATATCTTATACTTGAAGAACATAGATTCTAAATATTACCAAGCCAATTGCTAATAGTTCTGGGAAAAGTATTTACCATTAATTTTCCAGGCCAAAAATTATACACAGGCAAAGAATTAGGCACTTTGAGGGTGACTTTTTTGAGAATCACTAAATGAACATTTTTTACATTTATAGAGTAGCTATAATTACGAAGCTATAGTAGCTACTTATAGTAGCTATAAGTAGCCCAATTATGAAGGCATTTATCCAACCAAGTCCTTGAACTGGTGGGCCAAGGAAAGCAGCAGAATAAGTCAGGGGGTGGGGGGGTGGGGAGGGTAGCACCTAGTTTGGGAATGAAAAGCGCCATTTAATACTGAGCAGCAATCATAGTCCCTCAGAGCCTGACAACATTTGTTGCAAAGGAGCCATACTCTGGGGAAGGCACTACCTGAAAAGCACAGAAGACTATTTTATCCAAGAAGAAATTACAAACATAAAAATAAAACATTTGGTATTCTACACTATAGTACAAAAATAAATATATCCATCAATAAATAGCAGGACACCTAGAAACTTTTATGTGACTGCTGTGGTTGTTGGCTGCCCAAGCAAGTCTCCCTGTTCCAATTCTCCTCAAGAGCTGTTTGGGATATCAACTTAAGTGATGATAATGTGGCCATTAACCTGTAAGAAAAGACTGGCATGAGATGTAGCCAAGGTCTATGATCAGAGAAGACATTAGTGAGCTCTACTTTCCTAAGGTTCTGATAATTTTATGGCTTCATATTAACACAGCAGCATTTGAGACACACAGACACACTGCAAGAGGCCTGATGAGAGCTGGGAGGACTCCTCTGGTTATAGGTTATGTTCTTTCATTCTCTGGTGAGAAGAAAGCAAAACATTAAAAAAGCCACTAGTACATTTGAATAACCAATATGTGGCTTTCTGCACCTTCTTTCCACAGGGAAGAAGAGCATCAGGAAAATGCATGTTGACATCTGGGCTGTGGGAAAAGAAGTAGCATCTGGGAGGTACAGCCTGACTGCAGACAGATTTCCCCCCACCTTTCACAGAAGAGTGATTAAAACTGCTCACAACAAGATTTCTCCAGGAACCTGATGAGTTGGCAGAGGGCATGAGCAGGGTGCTAATAGCAATGGGGTGCCAGAGCCAGCAAGCATGGCTCCTGGGAACAATGGTGAAGTTCAGGATTTTTTTTCAAGCTGGGTGATATCGCTGTGGTACCTTGAAATAGGCCAGGGTGGGAGATTTACAAATCAGAGCATACTCACCCCAGGACTGCTGGCTGTAAAACATTTACCAGCTGTCATACATATTTTAGACAAAATATTGCCTTACTCTTATCAAACTAGAACTATTTGTTCAACTGAGGTTTTACTGTATGTCTATCACAGTGTCCTTTAGAAAAGATAAGAAGTACCATAGAGTATACAAGTATACAGTGTGTACCGTGGATGTAAAGGATGTACCACATCCCACTGAGGGCTCTAAGTGTGGCTATCCAGAGCCAGTTACACACACACACACACACACACACACACACACACACCACACACACCATTGTATATGAAGGCCATTCCATAAATGAATGTTCCTGAATTGCATGACCATCTCAAATGTCACTCACTGTACACTCCCTGATGGTCAGAATACCACTTTTTCAGGGCAGTGAGTTCACCAGGACCTTCCCTCTGTTTGCTCTCAGAATCTATGCATCCAGATGTACAGAGCCGAGGTCCAAATTGGGCAAAATGCCTTTCAAAATAGCTTCCCTTGCCTCTGCTTTCCAGTGTGATATGAGTTTATAGCCCCAAGAGTTTTGTGAAAGGGAGGCTGATGGTTTCCAAGGGTAAAAAACCTGTCAGACTTCTCAAGGAAGCATGCAATACAGTGAGGGGGGACAATATACTAGAAATCACATTCCACATTCTAGTGTGAACCATTTGTGTCTCCTGCCTGGAGGTGTCAGAACAGTTTGAGAACTACACTTCTCTAGTTCTTCCTGCACAGAGACCATGATCCCTCATGGGAGGTGGGGACAGGCTAAGACCATAGCCAGAGTCTCAGTGTCCTTCCTGCTGGCCAACTGCTGGCCCACCCAGTGGACCGTTCCTGCCAATACTTCCCAGTCCCTTAGTCCTTCCCAGTTTCAAAATGGGAGGACTTCAGAATGGGAAGGCCATAGAATTTCTACCATGGGGCAAACCTGACTTCAAAGTTTAGGCTTAGCTTTCTAGTCATTTGCTTGTGTGTATTTATGAATTCATTACTTAGGTGGACCTATTTGGAGTTTTATTTTCTTTTTCTTATGCTTAAGAATGCTTCACAAACAAGCCATTTCATAAATGATATTATTAAAAAGCAAATTAAATTAAATGCTATGAGGAACTTAGAGCTCTAACTTCATTAATCTTGAAAGAAATGCTTTTAGGTGTCCCTCCAGGTCACAGCAGAAGCAATGAAGGCTCGTGAAGTCAAGGGACATAGGAGTGGAAGAAGGACATGAGGCTCTGGGGAAAAGAAGAGAGAGGAAGGAAAAAGGTGGACAGAACAAATGTAGAGTGCAGAGGCAAAGGAGAAATATTAAGGATGGAAGAAAAATATTAAGAAGTGAAGAGTCCAACAGGCAGAGCCCTTCTGATTTTTCTCCTCTTGTTCTTTGAAAATTTTATTTCATCCAAAAGATTTAATTCTCCAATTATAACTGCTTATAATTTCACAGGTACATCCTAGGATAACATCTAGATTCTCTTCCCCTCCTCCCCTGTATGCCCCCTCCCACCTCCTCTACTCCCTGCAGCAGTAAAGGCCAACCTTGGCTTTGCTTTCCTCTTATCTCAGACACAGATGTCACCCTGAAGCCCCACTGTTTTCCTTTATTGGCCAGGCACTACCCTCCAGAGCATGTTGATACCCCCATGGGTTTACTCCTTGCTATTGTACATTAAGGCCATTACTTCTTGAACCCATTTGGTTTCTGCATCAAATAACCCCTCCTCAAACATACAACATCCTTTGCCAGACCCTGCTGCTCTGAACAATTGCAGAAACTCAACTGATGAAAGCTCACCTATATTCTCAATAGTATTTAGAAAATGTAATAGTTCCTAGGATGGTTAAATTCCTGGTGCAAATTATCTTCACATAAATCCCACTCAGAGAAGAGGTGACTAAGAACGTACCATTGGCTTTTGATATATACACATTTGATTGAGTTGTGCATGTGTGTCAGTCTAATGTACCTCTATAGAACCAAAAGAGTTTTATAAGTTTATCTATGTACACATATACATACACAAATATCTACCTTCTGATACTATATTTCTGCTTAGGGGTTCCTGTTTTCAAATTGACATAGAAGACAAGTAGTAGAAGTTTGACACTGGCCATTAGAGGTGACATAGTCAGGAAATAGCAAGTCCAGAGAAAAACAGATGGGAAGAAATGAGAATGTGTAACATAATATGTATTGCCTACAACAGATTCACCTGACCATTTCCCTAAGTCAGTAAGCCTCTATGATCTGTACACCCTTATTAAATAATCTTATTAAATAGGGACACAAAATATACACATATACAGTTATTAAATAAGCAACAAACTCCTTTTCTATCTGCAGCCACATTCAGCGACAGCCATGCCTTCGTATTTAAACTTGTAGGTGACGACACCTTTGTCTAAATAGAGGATGGAGATGGGCTCCAACTTGGTGGGCACACAGCAAGCTTTGGAAGCCTTCTGGGAATTCTTGAGGTGGACCAAGGCTTGAATAATTGCATGTTTTGTGGGTGTGAGATGCTCTGCCAGGGGGTAGTTGCAAACGCCACGGCATTCATAGGCTTCATATCCAGGCGGGGCGATGATCCAAGAATCCCAGCCAATCTCCTTGAAGTCAATGTAGAGTGGGGTCCTCTTGCAGTAGTTTCCTTTGGCATTCCTTCTGATGCGGGCAGTGGAGTCATAGATGATGTTTGACCTCATCTGCAGCAAAGCCTCTTCCCCGGGTCCACTGGAATAACCATCAAGGCCCAGGTTGTCCAGCTCCAGAAGTTGCTCATGGGTGATCATTTCATTCAGTTCCTCTTTCTGTTCCTTCTCACTGCTTTGGTCATCAGAAAACACGACAAGCAGAGGGACATGCTTATTCTGGGCACTGGTGTCTATTTCCAGTCGTCCCCTGCCAGTGCCCTCAATTTCATCATGTCTGCTCTCAATGTGGACTTCCAGCTGGTGGGTGGATGAGCCTGACTGTTGCCAACGCCGGATGGCACTGGTGACATCAAAAGTCTCCCACTCACTGTTGGTTCCATAGATCATCTCTGACACCAAGATCAGCATGTTTCTTTCACTCTCATTGTCCTCTTTGCCCTCAAATACTTCAAAAATGGTAATTTTCCGGTCCACTCCATCATATATCATTCGATCCCTTTGCACCAATGTGTACAGTCTGAGTTCAGCCATGATGACCTCTTCATGGTGAGGGATGGACACATTGAAGAGGAGAGGGTATTTTCTGAGCCCATTAAAATTGGCTGGTTGGGAAAAGAGATCTAAAAAAAAAATGAGATTTGCAGTATGTTACAGAAAAAAACCAGACTATTCATGTCATAAAAGGTCCTGTCCATGAAGGAAGTTTTAGACAGAGAAAATAAGGGGATATAAAAGAAAATAAACACAATGTTAGCATTCTTTGACACAGAGAATACCGAGTCAGTGGTAGAATGCTAAATTGAGTTAAGCTGCCAAGACTAATGAGAAAAATGGCAGCTTAATGAATGGTGGAAAACTCACCCAGGCTTGCCTGTGTAGCTTGTCAGCCACAGAATTACAGAGCTGGGAAGACTTTGGAGATTGTGTGGGCAAGCCCCCCAATTTTTCTAACCAGTAAAGAGCTAGCAAGTGAAACATGGTGGTGGTTGGAGCTTTTGGGGGATGAGAACCTCATTATTTGTCACATTTGCATTTGTAAGGGGCAGATATCTCCACATAGTTAGCTGGGCACTGTTTTTCCTGAAGACCTCCATCTAGGCCAGGGGATGGTAAACCATACCCCACGGGCCACCAGTTTTGGGAAATAAAGTTTTATTGGAACACAGCCTCACTCCTCTGTTTCTGTATTATCTGTGATGACTTGTACTACAATGACATATACAGTCATAAGAGAGAAACAGGGCTGGCTCATAAAGCCTAGAATATATACTATGTATCTGGCCCTTTACCAAAAAAGTTTGATGACCTTTTCCTGACAAGGTTGGGAAGAGCCATAAACCAAGCAGGTCGCAGCAGTGATTTTGGGTATGCAGTTTGTAAGAAATAGGGAAAATAAACCTTGGGGATGGGTTGGTTGCTTTCGTCTTATCCCCTTAGCACCTGGCATAGGGTTTGGCAAGTCAAATCACTCAAGAATACTTATTGAAATAAAAATTTAAAGGTCCTTTAGTCTTAGAAGCACATTTCCAAATACTATCAAGTTGACTGTCTAAGAATTTTATAGGAGCCCAAAACTCCCGTACTCTTGCCCCAGGTAATACATTTCTAAAAGGAATCCCTGAGGGACTTTGTCATCAATCAAAGGCTTCCATGAGACCAAGGAGGCTAAAGACCACCAATGAAGGGTTCTATATCATCTCTGGCAGCATTTCCCCAACTATATACCCAAGTTCATGAATTTAATATTTTTATTTAACATGATCTGATTATGTTATACTTCCTACCTCTTTTAGACTTGTCCTAAATAATGGCATTTATATAATGATGGGTTTGAGGTGATACGGAGATATTTTTCTAATTCACAATAATAAAAGTGTACAATGATTTCATGTGATTTATACCTTCCTCTAAACATGGCCTAAAGCCATCATATACATGGCCAGCGGGAAGTGCTGGGCAATGGCATGCATTTAAGCTTTCTAGCATGGCTCTCAGGAGCAGCTGTAACCAGGCCCAGACCCCTTGATCCAGTCATTACTTTCATGTATCCTCTCCAGTGCAAGACACATTGCATTTGTTCCACTGATCTTTGTTAAAAGATGAAATGAATTATAAGCCCTTCTGTTTAAAGCAGACCGATATGTTCATCATGTGCCACAACAACCCTTTACTGCATACTGCACCTTCGGATAGGCTCTTCTGACCCTTGGAAAGCCCCATCCATCCCCTCATCTGTACCTATCCAGTTGTGACTTCCTCTGGTGAGACCATCCCTTCCTCTCCTCCTATCTGGACATTCACGCCTCTCTGAACCACTTAAGTGCTCACTCTCTATCTTGCCTTTGACCTTTGCTATTTACATCTTTGTATTTCAGTTATCTTTTTATGAATGGATCTTCCCAAATAGACAGTCATCATGCTGGTGGGTACCACATGTTAAACTTCTTTCTATACTTTCAGCCTGCCATGATGTCTTAGAGGCAGCTCTTTAAACATATTGATTAATTTATGATTACAGGCATCAGATCAAACTGATTCATAACATATGTCCTTATTATATCAAGCAGATTGGGAGTTGTCTCCCTCTTATAAGAGTGCAGGAGATGACTCCCCTTGGACAGGGAACATGTGAAGACCAGAAATAGGGGAGTAGACTGGTTGCTTGACCCATGAGAAAAGTACAGAATAAAGGCTCACTATAGTGAGAGGGAAGGGTTACAAAGAAGCACTAGACAACTTTTGGTGGTGATGAATATGTTCACTACCTTGATTGTAATGATGGTTTCAGTGGTTGTTTACATATGTTAAAACCTATCAAATTGCCCTGACCGGTGTGGCTCAGTTGGTTGGAGCGTTATCCCATAACCGAAAGGTTGCTGGTTCAACTTCTAGTCAGGGCACGTACCTAGGCTGTGGGTTCAGTCCCGGTCTGGGTATGCATGGTCCCCAGCCCAGGCACATTCGATGTACTGTCCGGACACACATGGGAGGCAACCAATCAATGCTTCTCTCTTGCATAGATGTTTCTCTCTCTCCCTTCCTCTCTAAAAAAGCAATGAAAAAATGTCCTCGGCTATGGATAAAAAAAATAGAAAAATCTATCAAATTATATATACTGTAAATATGTGCAGTTTATTGTATGTCAATTATATTTCAATAAAGCTGTTTCTTAAAAAGTTCATTGTGCATTTGCAAACATAGTAATAGGTGGAGAAGTTATGTTTCTGAGCAAATTTCATGTTCCAGGTGCTCTAAAAGCATGGTTTTATTTAGCTCTTATGTCCCTACAATACAGGTATTGCTACTCTGTTCATTTTACACAGAAGAAATGGAACTTCAACTCAGAGAAGTGACTTCCCCCAGATGACAAGGTTAGGTTAGAGCAGTGTCAGGAATACACGTAGTGGTTTTTCCACCTTGGAGTTGGCAATTGTTCCCTTCTGATTAGTTAGGTTTGGAGGGATTGGGTTGTCTTGTTTTGTTTTGTTGGACTTTATCTCCCAGGAAGCTGCACTGGGCAGACCCAAAGAGTCGCCAGAGAGACAATAGCAGCTGACAGGATGAGCCCAGTGCAGAATTCAGGCTCTGGGGGCTGCGCATTTCCTCCTGCAGACTGGCGGAGGTTCAGGCACCTGAACTGTCCGGGGAGAGGTGTTCCTGCCCTCGCTGAGCTCCAGCAGTGAGAAAGAAGCTGTGCAGACTTCACTGCCTGACCTGTATCATCCAAATCCTCTGCGCAAGAAGTGAGAGCTGAACAACTCTGACTTTCCCAGAGACTGTGAGCATTTTTCTGTTCGTACCCGAGCCACACACCTAGGGCTCAGGGCTCAGAAACATTAGGAAGGAAAGGCTCCCACGGAAGGAAACTGTTCACGTTCAATTCAGACTCACCTCCAGAGGAATCTGCAATTTCATCATGCCATTTCCATAATGTTATTAAATGTTGCTAAATAATATACCCAATATGTTACTAAATATTAGAAATTTTGATCTGTCAACTAAATTTTTAAGGCAAATGGTATCTCCAAGGACTGAGCAATACCTACTCAACGTGTTCTGTGGTGCCTAGAATTTTAAAAAATTAGTCAAGAATAACTCATAGTTAGCCCTGGCTGCTGCGGCTCAGTGGATTGAGTGCTGGCCTGAGAACCAAAGGGTCATAGGTGTGATTCCTGGTCAGGGCTCATGCCTGGGTTGCAGGCCGGGTCCCCAATAGTGGGTGCATGAGGGACAACCACACATTGTTGTTTCCCCCCTCTCTTTCTCCCTCTTTTCCCCTCTCCAAAAATAAATAAAATCTTAAAAAAAAAAACAAAGAATAACATATTTATTCAGCATTTCATAGCAAATAAAATGCTTCTTACTCAGAATCTCTTTTGAATTGCTCAATTACATTAAATAGCTATATTATCCCCAATTTACAGATGAGGAAACTGAGGTTCAAAAGAATTAAACTCATTGTTAACAGCAATGAAGTTTACCTGCTTTCAAAATTCAAAATTCTGAGCTATTTCTTTTCTTTGACACCACCTTTCTGGTTTTTTTTTATACCTTTCTTCTTCTTCTCTCTTTTTTAAAGATTTTATTTATTTATCTTTTAGAGGGGAAGGAGAGAGGGAGAGAAACATCAATGTATGGTTGCCTTTTGTGTGTCCCCTGTTGGGAACTGGCCTGCAGGGAACCGGCCTGCAACCCAGACATGTGCCCTGACTGGGAATTGAACTGTGATCCTATGGTTCGCAGGCCCATGCTCAATCCACTGAGCTGCACCAGCCAGGGCCACCACCTTTCTGTTTTTAAGAAGGTCTGGCCAACATTGATCTTCACTTTTTTTTACCAGGTGTAACAATGCTTTTTTGTACTCAGTTAATGACTATAAAAGCATTAGTAAATACTAACAAATATTAATATTAGTTTCTTCAGACCTACAGTTTTTAACGGTAGGTATCAGGGTGGTTTTTGTTTTTGTTTTTTGCCTACTAACATCATAACGAACAAAGGATTAACTTTCTAGTTCATTAGATTTAGTTACTGAATAAAGATCTGGGAGGAGAAAACACTTTCCCACTGATATTTAAAAATTGTGCATTACTCTCCATAAAGACGCAGGTATTAACTGCATCATTAACTGGGCCACGCACACTTCCTCAACTATAAACAGTGCTTGAAGGACATACTTGTCACGTTGAATGCAACACGACTTTAGGAAGGCTCTCTAATGTAAGTTTCTCTCCTGTTTGAACAACTTCTCACTGAGGTCACAAAAGGGAAACTTATCCAAAGTTTGAGTGAAACACAAATCACAACTTTCTGGTTTTTTTTTCTATTTTCATAATTTTCATTCCAAGTAGAAGTTGGCAAATTTTGTAATCAATCAAAAGCCAAATAGAAACCAAGGCCTCTCTGGAAAATTAACAATAAAGGTGAAGCAATAAGCCAACACTGACTTTTTGTATTACTTGCCATCAAAATTAAAAAATTTTAAAGACCCAGATATAATGTGGAAATGGTAGATACTTTATAACTTCGAATTAAAAGATATTTTTTAGTACCTTTTAAAACCCTTCGGAAAATAGGCATTAACATGCGATAGGCCGTAACGTGCATTGTTTTGTGTTATCTGTGTACACACTCCTTTTATCTTTTTTATTCCCAGGCCTTATAAATTTACTTATCACTTCTTGGAAAAAGAATCCAAGCCAAATTTCATCATTAAAATGTCAACTTACCTTCATTTTTGAAACTCCTAATGATGTTGGCAGACGGCATGGAGGTGCGGTCTGTTGCAAATTTGTTGTAGAGTTCCAGCATGTACTCTGGAGGGTCAACCTTGGCTGAATCCTGCGTGGGGATGTCAGACAGGTTCAATGTCTTGAGAAACTCATTCTTCATGCTCTGCAGCAGTGTGTCAAAGTCAACACCGTCTTGCTCTGAGAAGACATCATCGAAGAGGGGCATATCTTCCTCCAGAGGCGACTGCTCCAGGCTCATGATGGGGCTGCCAGAAGCAGAGTGAGCCACCAGGCAGAGGACGGCGCACAGCTGCAGGGCCAGAGGACCCATGGCTCTGCTGGAGCCCCCAGGCCAACCCAGGAAGGTCTAGCTCTCCTGGGCTCTAAGTGGCAGTTTTATCTTGCGGAGCTGAGCGTAAATGTCTCCTGTCACTGGAGACAAGTTTGGAAATTCTTCCTCTCTCTCCCTCCCCCTACCATTCTTCCTCTTCCCCCAAAGTCAGGTTGCAGTAATTGGATAACAAAATCCCCTATAGGGGCCTAGCCTCTCTTATCTCTCTAGTGTAAACTTGTGCACCAGATTTTGTTTCTATCTTGCAATCCTTTTTTCTTTTAATGAGCATTTTGTAAACATTTCTACATTCTGACACTGGCTGAGAGATACGACAATTTTCTCATTGCAAAGCTCTGCTTCTCTTCCTTTTGATTCACTTCCTTTTGGCAGGAATGCCTAAATTCTGCTTTTACGCAGTTCAGTTTCACACATGCATGTACTAACTACTAAGAATGAGCACAGCACACATCAATGGCAACCTGTATTAATTCGAGTAACGGGGCTTTCATCCTCACATAAACATTTTTAAGAAAGACTAAATATCCAAAATCTCCAGGTTAAGTTATAGGTATAAGTAAATTTATATAAATTTTTAGAATCTTATGTTTTTAGCAATAGGAAAATATAAACTTCACTATCAATAGCCTTTTTTTTTTTTGCACAGATTTGACCTGGCTAAAATGGCTTTTGAAAAATAGAGACAGTGCTTTATTATAAAAGCAACCAAAATTTATTAGATGCTTTCCTACAAGCTGGCATTGTGTTGAGTGCTTTCCACGTATCACCTAATGTGTTCCCTGTAACAAACTTGTCACCCCCATGTATATATGGGTCATTATGGGTCAATAGCTTGCTGGAGGTCACAAAGCTACAAAGTGGTAGAACTAGGAATTAAACCCAGGCAGTCTGACTCTAATTTAAAAATTGAAACAATCAGACTTTTGAACCAGTGTTCCCTTAGATCAGGGCGTGAGCAGTGATACTGAAAGGCTAACCAAGCCCCAGCCCAGCCCTTCCCAGAAAGTCCACAGTCAGCAGACAGACAACAATCTGCAAGTCCTTCGCCCATGCAATGAGTTACTAACGTGACCCAGATCCCTGCCAAATCTGTCTTTGTGGCTCAATCAAGCTGATCATTAAGAGGCTCCAGTAAAAACCTTGGCGAGTAACATTATTAGGCAAATGAAAAATGACAAATGCCACAGTCTGAAAAATGTTGCATGTCTGGGCTAGAAAAGATCAATCAAGTTCATCTCACTTTCCAACCCCAATTAGTGGTGGTAGCAGCATGGCCTGGTCAGGATGGTCCTGTGGACAACTTTGGGGGTGGGGTACGGGTTGCCACAGAGACAGAGGGCCTGGTGGTACCTCTCTGCCCTGCTCATGCACTTCCATTGTGATCACTCCAGCGCCCCAGCACTGTTCAGAGGTCTGTGTCTAAACACTGGGGGATACTGTTAATTTCTGTGCTAAATTTTCCTGCATTTACCCCAATATGTGAGTTATAATATCTTCACTTTTTTCCCCCCTAGGCTCCCAAGTTTAATGGTCATCTTTTGATTCTTTCTTCTCCTAAAATGTAATATTTTGCAGCAATTTTTTTGAATTGCCATAGGAAAAAAAAACCCAGAATTTGAAGAGAAAATCTCTCCTCAAAACTTTTCATTGCTTTAGAAATTGTTAATTTTGCTTCATTGCTCCATTTCAGTTGAAACTTCTGCTCTTACATTGAAAAGACAACTATATACTGAAAATAGATTTGACCCAGAACAGGTCCAGCAGTGAGTGAGTCCAGGGGCCGGGCCACATCCTGCGGATGGTGCTTTTTAACATGAGTTTTCTGACAACATGCCAGAAGGGCTCCTATATCACGTCCTGCATCGAAACAAGCCCCGTTTATCTTCACACACACAGACGTCAACGCACACTCCAGATCTCTGGATGGCAGGCATGTGCGCGTAACTGCCCAGGGCAGCGAAGTAAGTGGCGGTACTTACAACCTGGCGCGCTGGGTCAGGAGGGGAGACAGGCGCCCCCACCCCGCAGAGTTCTGGTTCTTCACAATCTCAGGAGTAAGACGAGAGCTGAGATGCCACTGGCTGCCTTGTACTGAGTGCCGGTGTAACCATGGGGTTAAATATTTGAGCCAGTTTCCAAATGGGAAATGTTTAGGCTTGAGGTTGATTGAAAGATAGACTAGGAAAATGTCTATAACTGCGTCTCAATGCCTATGACTTCCTGAACTGCAAGGTCCTGAAGCCCCTCCCCTCTGCTGGGGCGGAGGAGGAGGGAGATTGAGTCGCATGCCTAGAGGAAGGGGACAGGAGCTTCTTCCCTCTTCTAGGCCTGGGATACTTATAAGTTATAGCTGTATGATCTCATTATCCCTATGATTTTCAAAGCTGTCTCTGATGACTCTTATCTGACTCTAAAAGGTCCAAATATCTCCACGTGCCTCCCCCTACCTTGATTTTTCTGGTCACCACCTATCACTTTGCAGTGATCTCCTTTGTTTGCATCCCACTACTTTCTGGTCCCACTGCACAATGTTCCAGGGCCTCTGCTTTGTGAAACTCTGGGCCAAATTTCAAGGCTAGTTTCAATAACTGTTCAAATTTGAAGGATCCAAGACTGAGTTTCACTGGCTCTCAAAGAGATCCGTGGTCCAGACAAGGTGAGACCCCCTGAATATCAGCCTTGGGAATTGTGCTGTTTCCTGTGAGTCAGGGGCAGATCCTGGAAAATGTAATCAGTAAAGTCCTGACTGACAAGAGGTCAGTGAGGTTAGGAGATTTCTGGATATGATTCCAGGTTCTCGGGACCCCCTCCACCTTGGACCCCACTCGAGGCCTTACACTACTCTTGCTGCCTGCTCAGAAGTTGTCAGGACTTTGAGGTGCACCAGCTACTTAAACAGGCCCCAGCCAGCCAGAACAGACCCTGGCTAAAGCGCCAGAGCAGGAGCCCAGAGGCCCCAAACTCAACTGTGAAGATTTGGATTCAGAGAAGATGGGATTCTGAGAGAAGGGCTCTGTAGCTGCTAGTCACTACCCTGCATGGCACTGTTTTGATACGTTAGCCCGGCTCGGTACTGCTGTGCTATGTACTGCAGGTGGCTGTAAGGTTGGCCTGAAACTCCCGAGCCGCAGCCCTGCGAGCTACGTGCATTGACATTTACAACTTCAATATGAGGACAGAGAGTGTGTGCTGATCACCTGCTGACTGCTACCGGAATCTGCTCTCTGGCTGTCCTCTCATTCTTCACTGTTCACGGACCTAGGAATCCACCGAGGGGAAGCTTTGCCTGCAGGACAGGTAGGGAGCTCTGCTCTTCTCTGATACCATCTGCCCCAGCACCTCCTTCTAGAATTAGAATTTGCCATGGCAGTGGCATTTCTCATCAACTCTGCCCTCTAGAGCCCACATTTTCACTGGGGGAAATGTTTCCTTGCCTCTACTGACCCATAGCCCTTATGTTGCTGCTTACGTGAGGCTTATCAATCTGCCAAGGGGTTCCCACCCACCAACGTACAGAGGCCAGCTCCTCAGCTCCACTCAGCTGCTCCAATGACGTGACTCAAATGGTCCCTAAGCTCACTCCTTCGGTAACCTTCACATGATTTCTTCATTGTCTAATAAGGCCTATGTGAGTTATCATCAATAATTAGGTGAGCAATAAAAATGATGAGGTCTTTAACGGGTATTTTGTTCAACGAGATTTCGTATGTGTACCTACTCTGTGTCAGGGACTCTCCAAACACAAAACCTGAAGAAAACAGACCAGACCCCAGATCTTGTGGAGTTTACTTTCCAGTTGGAGGGAGAGAGACAACAAAACCAATATACCAATAAAATGGTGCCTATTGGTGGTGATAAGTACAGTGGAGAAAAAACTCAAACGAACCAAACTTATATTTGTAAGAGGATAGGAAGTGCTAAGGGAAGGGGTTATTATTTCACTGTCAAGGCCAGAGAAGGCCTGGCAGGTGGAGGCCAGGGAGGACCCTGGGGCTCATGCTGGAAGGGCATTGCAAGTGGAGGGAACAGCCTGTGCGAAGGCTCTGAAGTGGCAGCATGACTGGGAGGCTCACACACCAGCCAGTCAAGACAGTTGTGGAGAATCAAGAAAAGAGGGGAGTTCCAGGAAATGAGGTTCAAGATTGAGTGAAGTCTGGACCAATTAGGAGGAGATGGGCCTTTTTTTTAAGTCTTACTACACAAATACACAACTTTGCTGCTTGTTTTTTTCACTGAACATTCCATCCTAAGGGTTTTTCATGTTGCACATAATCTTCAGAACCAGTAATTATAGTAATTGCCTAATTCCATTGGATGGCTGTCCCATAACCTTGTAAGAGAATTTTTAAAGTAGTAAAGAAAAAGTAATGATTCTGTTGAAATGTAAAGACATTGGATGTTTAGACTTGAAATACAAGTGCCAACATACTGTAAAATTGAGAATGCAATACATATATTTATTTACTTAAAATGTGGGTCAGAGAAAGAAAAAAAGCAGAGTGGTCAAATAACATTTATTCTCTGTAAAATAATAGTAGTCTCAGGAATAAATGGAAATTAATAGTCTGTACCACACAGCATCTTGCCTGGATTGAGGAAACTAGTTACCAGCTGGTCCCCTGTCTCCACCCCCACTTCCTAACGGTCTATTCTCAACAAGGCCATCAGATCCTCATATGACATTAATTCATCACGCTTTACCTCTCTTGGAGGAAAGGACAAAGTCTTGCAAAAGTCCTAGGATCCCTCCATTACCACTGATGTCACTGACACTTGTTAACTCCATTCCAGCCCCATGGTCCCCTACCTATTTTTTTTAAAGATTTTATTTATTTATTTTTAGAGAGAGGGGAAGGAAGGGAGAAAAGGAGAGAAACATCAATATGTGGTTGCTCCTCACACACCCCCAACTAGGGACCTGGCCTGCAATCTCAGCTTGTGCCCTGACCGGAAATTGAACCCATGACCCTCTTTTTTGCAGGCTGGCGCTCAATCCACTGAGCCACACCAGCCAGGGCCCCTTCCTATTTCTGAAACACCTTGGGCCTTTGCTTCAGCTGTTTTCTCCACCAGAAACGACCTCCCCCTGATAATTCACGTGGTCACTCTCAGCC